TAATAAATATTTTTTTCTATATTTACCCTTTAAATATACAATTTAATAGTTTTTTAGAGAATTAGTTTTAAATTAAGGGTAATATAGTCAATTTATTTGATAATTTATTCTAACTTAGATAAATTTAATGATTTTCTTAAGGTGCGTGAATTTTAAATGTGATAAGTATTATAGAACTGAGATAATACATGAATAATCCAATGGAATAATTTTTTTTAAAATTCCAATGAAATAGTATTAATTACCGCGAATTGGAACTAGGAACTTTAAAATCACAATCGCTTGAGTTTTTTTCTGCCAAACTCATTCTAATTTTTGTTTATCCGCCAAAATTTAAAATTCCTTTATTTTTTTCTGCGAAAATTCCTCTCAAATTTCATTCGTCTCTTTATATTTTTTACAAGCTCTTCATTTATTTTGGACTCTTCAATTTTCACAAATAGGTAGTAATAAACAAAAAGAGAGAAACTTTTTTGAAAATTTGAAGCAATAATTATCGGTAATATACAAAGAGTAAATATGGAAAAAGAAATTAGTACTCCTTAAAACTACAAGCATTTTGAAAGAAGTTATTTTTTCAAATGTGACAAATATTATAAAACCGACATAGTAATAATTTGTCCTTAAATTATTTGTGAATCTCAGATAAAATACTAGAGGTCCGGGTAGAGTAAGAACTATCATTAGTTTTAGTGGCATATATTATTGTTAATTTTGTAGTTCAATAGTAAATTTGACAAGTTGAGTAGCATCATAAAACTGATTTTTAGGCTGGACTAATACTATATTGGGCAAGTACAAGGATCAAGCCCATAGCGTCGCAAGCCCACAAGAATATATATAGTCCGATCTATATTATTAAATGGGCTTTTCAAAAATATAACCATTCAATCATGTAAATTCTATTAAAAATAAGAGTGAACTGAACTGAATTCGCCTGTAAACTGCTGGATTCAGAAATCTGTCGTTTCGACCACGGTTCCAATGTTAAGCATATTTTTTTTCCGAAAAATGTATTTTTATGTGATTTTACTTTCGATTTCAATTTCACGGATTTTTTTAAAAAAACATCTGAATTGGAGAATTAATCAAAACTGATTTTCCATATGTAATTAAAAATTAAAAATTATATAATTAATCAAAATCAACTTTTCATGTAAAAATAGACTTTCTATAGATATGATTTTTGTCTTTTAAAACATTCACACAATGGCATATAAACCATTCACGTATAATCAAACATATCATCTAATCACAACATCGGATGACTTAGTCTGCAGAATCCACGTCGTCGTCGTCATCCTCATCAGATGTGCCCAGTGTTGCAGTCTAGTCTTCCGTCGCTTGCAAGCTACAGGTAATGGTTCTGCTCCATCCAAGTACACTACAATTCATATCACATTTCATACAATATCACAACATCATACATTTTTATCATTATTCATTATGTTCACTTCACATACACCGCATGCATTATATATAATTTATGCATGAAATCATAATTATTTATGTATGTATGAATGCGCATGCAACAGAAATTTGAAAAATGATGTACAATTATAATAAACCGCAAATTTTCAAAAAAAAAAAAAAAATATTAGGCCTTACAAACTTTAGGACTAATTGATTTTCTAATGAAATTTTAAATGTAAAAGGATTAAAAAAGGGTTAATTGTAAATTTGGTATTTGGTCTTTGTAAAATATTTTATTTTGGTGTCTGAATGGAAAACATTTACAATCAAGTATTTGAATTCATTAAAAATTTTTAATCAGTCTGCTTACGTGGGCACGTCGAAATTATATCTAAGCATTATGGGGCCCATCCACCTTCTAAAAATATGTTGATTAGAATCCAGACAGGTAAATCATGTCAGATTTGTGTTATACACATCATTAACAGCAGTGCACTTACTAATTTCCCTTCTTAGATGTCGTTGGAGGAAAGAGACAGGGAAATTGAAGTTTTTGACTGTTCTCTTCAAAGAAATTTGAACACAGAGAGGCGAAAGGAAAATTTGCTTCTCTTAGTCAACCTTCGGATTCTATTTTTGCAAATCTTGATAAAATGGAAGAACCCACAAACTCAGATTCTGAGCTTATGTCACTTGTTGATTTAATGTCTTAAAATTCTTTCTTTCATGTTTGTGCATTTTGTGCTCAGTTTGTCTGTTGCTTTCTTTTTTCTTTTTTCTTTTTTTTTTTTTTTTTTTTCACTTTGTTTGATTTAATGTCCTTAAAATTCTTTCTTTCATGTTTGTGGCATTTTGTGCTCAGGTTTGTTCTGTTGCTTTCCTTTTTTCTTTTTTCTTTTTTTTTTTTTTTTTGATTGCTTACAGTAAACAAAGCTATTTTTTTTTTTTTTTTTTTTTTTTTTTTTTTTTGATTGCTTACAGTAACAAAGCTAAGGAGCCATTGAACTGCAAAATTAGAAAGAAATTTAGCTTTAACTTAAATGTACAGAGTTAGCCGATTCCAAAAGAAAGTGAAAATAATTAGTGGGAAAGTGATGAAGAGGAGAAGAAAGAAGAAATTAACAAAGAAATTGCAAAAGAAGGCTAATATTTGTCTCTTTTTGAGAAAATGGCATCTTATCCATCAAACTACAATTATTGAAACTACAGTGACAACTATGATGAAGAAGATGAAATAACATATACAGAAAGCGACTTGGACGATGATGATTTTGATGAGATGATGATATTGATGGTTAAGTTGTATTGATGATTTGAGTATAACCCAAGAAGAACTTTTTGGAAAATTGGAGTCTTTATCAGTTAGTTCAAATAAAAAAGATTCTTTAACTAAGGACAAATCTAAAAACCTGAACCCTCTTCAAGATTCAAATGGAGGAGCATCAAAATTGGTTTCGATGAATCAAAATACTCGAAATAAGAGTCAATATGTTCATCCTATGTTGAATCCAGTAGAAAATCTTGGTTAGTGGAAAGCAGTGAAGGCTAAGGGAATGCCACCACCAGTGAAGAGACAAAGAAAAGAAAATATAGCATTAGATCAAGAAATTACAGTCGATGCCAGCCTCTTGTTTAGTTTCTATTGATTGAAAGAAAGGTTCATTTGGTAGGCCATTTTCTTGGAGAAGCATAGATATCGCCAACTTAGAGCCTTGCAGTCGAAGTCAAATTAGTTTGTCGATTGAGAGAAAAGCAAATTTTCCTTTCGTCTCTCTGTGTTCAAATTTCTTTGGAGAGAACAGTCTACGCTTTGATTTCTCCATCCCTTACCCACAATGACATCTAAGAATGGCAAACTAGTAAGTGCACTACTATAAATGACGTGGTTTACCTACTTACATCCTAATTAGCATATTTTTAGAACCTTGGTGTGCCCCCACAATGCTTAGATGGCATGCCACAGCCGGCGACGCTTTATTGAAAATTTTTAATGGATTTGAATACTTAATTGCAAAGGTTTTCTGTTGGGACACTAAAATAGAATATTTTACAAAATTCCAGATATCAAATTTATAATTAACCTATTGAAAAACTATATAATCCTTGGGGTTTGGATTACTTAATAAGTTACTTCACGAATTATATTGCCTCTCAAGTTTATTTGTATGAATAAATAAATTTCATGTGAATGTACCTTTTTTTTTTAAAGTAAATGAAATTCATTAAGCATCATCGTCAAATACAGTTTCAGCAACATAAAAAGGACGAACAGGGCCCCACTCCTTAAGATCAGGAGATGAATATGCCTGAGTTACAAGGAGAAGAACAACTCTATTCGCTTATCTTTTTTTACAAAAATAAAAGAATAAGCAACTAGTTCTTGAAAGTAGTATTTATAGTGAGACACAATTGAAACAAAGCAGGGCCTATCATCCTTGCCACTATAAAAAGCTTACACCAGTTGTGAGGAATTGGACTCGAAATGACATGGTGCAGCTGGCTATTCTTGCACTAGCTAAGTGCCTCTCGAGATGATGTAGCCTCTACTACCTATGGTTCCTAAACACCAGGAAGGAGAATCTAACAAACATCGACACATATACCTCGCTCATCTTTGATTACCCAGCCAACCCTCCCAGCATCAACAATTTGATGCCAAGAAGCGTCTATTTTACATTTAAAGAAACCTAGTGCTGGTTTAGACTAAACAATGGGATGAGGTCTTAGTTGAGAATGTTGCGGATTATGTAATTTCTAGGCAGCACTCCATGCAAAAAAGAAAGGAGGAGGCAAAGTTAACATTCTGATGAACATCAGATCACTTATTATTCCAAATGATATCATGTAATTGCTTCCATAAACTCCATAGCATCATACACAAATCTGTAAATCAGGAACCTCATGCATCTGGAACACAATATATAACCAATCTGCCATTGATACATGAACTTGTAAATCGTAAATATCCATGACACCAAGTAAAGTTCTCTGCCAACATTGTCTTGCAATGCAATAAAAGCATGCTCTAAACTCTCTGGTTCTCCTTTACAAACTGGACACATAAGATCGATACCAACTCCCCTTGCGATGAGACGAGAATTGATACGAACATATCTGTTACATAATCTCCATATCAAGTTCTTGACTTTAGAGGAATTTTGAGATTCCAAAGCTTTAACCGTGAGGGGCAAAATTTGGTAGCTACCATACTCAAAAAATTAGAGATCAGACACCGATAAACACTTTTTATAGAGTAGGCCCTGTTCTTTTCAATGCTCTAGAACCAACTATTGTCTTTAGCTTACGTACTTAGTCTTGTAGTAAGTATATACGTGAATTAAGTAAAGACCTAAGTTCAACCTTCTTTTCCTTCAATGATTACAAAAGGACTAATTTGTTAATTAGGTTAAATTTCAGGGCTAAACAATAATTTATCTATAATTTATAAATGAAACAATGTGGGAGCCAATGCCAGGTGCGAACTAAGTTGACAAATTTTTGACGGTTGACTATCAATCGCGGAACGGAACGTGTTCACGCGACGTCCATTGCACTTCTACTCTGTTTTGTCCTCTTTAACAAAAATATTGCGGTTGGCTGTCGCTCTCTAGATTGAGAGAGAGAGAGAGAGACAGAGCGAAGAGAGAGTCAAGCAGAGGAAGGAAGAAGAGATAGACTGCAAAAACAAGGTTGTTGTTTCAATGGCAACCTTTGCTTCCTTTCTATCCTCCTCTCCTCCTCCTCCTCTGCTCTTCTCCTCTTCCTCCCACCATAACGACCTTCCTTGCTTCTCTCTCTCGTTTGCTTTCTCTCATCTTCCTAACGCTGCTTTAGCCTCAAACCCTAGAAAAATCCGAACCCTAATTCTCGCTTCCTCCAATTCCGCCTCTTCTTTTGATGATTTGGTATTCGATCGGAAGTCGGGTTCAGCTGATAAGGTTAGTGATTAATATTTGGTTCTCTTTCTTGAATTAAATTTTTTATATTCTGTGCCTTTGATGCATGTTTCTGCAGACTTTAGCTAATTTCAATAGCTTTTATTGTTTCCTTATTGAGGAATTTGAATTCTTGCAAAGTCTCATATAATATGATTATAACTGGCTTTGTTTGAATTGATTGCTTGTTCAGTTTCTTTGTGAATTAATGGAACTGGATAATTCAAGGCATAAGTGATGATTTTTTTTTTTTACTAGGTATATTAGTTCTTGCTGCTGCTGCTGTTATTGCTATATAATTTAGTAAGAATTCATTAAAATGAAATGGTTGAGTTAACTTTCGGAACATTATTTAATGCGAAATTGATGAGTTGTTGAAATTATATGTACCTACTGGGTTATGTTTTGATCAACACTAGGGAATTTTGTACTCAACTACTTGTCGTTACACATCTCAATTCTCATTATGTTTTCAACTTCACGGATCTGTCCTATGTGAAGTGAAAACACCATGCAGAAGGAGCTGCATGCATGATGAATCTATTTGAATAGATATTTGGGCGTGTGAAATTAGCTTGGATACAATGCAAAGCATTCATGGTGAATCCTTATTGTTTTTGCTGGGCATATTAGTTGCTGTTTTTATCAATTGGTTGAACATTTGAACTGAATAATGCAATCTGAAATGACATTTGAAGTGATGGAATTCCACTATAGTTCTTTGCAAAATATTGGGTGTGAGTGCCTGCATGCATTATGGAAAAGTCCTAGGACTTAAATGTGAAAATAGATTTTTATCATTAGAAGGCACATGAGATTGTTGAAAAACTCACCAAATTTGTGTTCAACAAATTGAAGAATTTGTAACAATCCATAATCAAGAGTTAATTCAGGGAAAGAAGGATTGCTTTATGTTTAGAATAGTTGAATGCTACACAATTTATTCTAGAAAATGACATTACGGGATTAGATCTTCCATTCTAGAAACGCAATGACATGCTTAGCATAACTTGATTTATTATTGTATTATCATTTGATTGGAATTTATTGAACTTTGAACCTTCTGCATTATGTTTGGCGAGTTCTCTTCACACACACACACACACACACACACACATGTGCCTCTATGCATGCTTTCTAGAGAGAGGAATACATAGAATAAATTGTAGAACATTCTGATTTCAAAATTATTATTGTGGAACAAGTCTGTTCTGCATTTTAAATTTTCAATCTTAGACTTCACTGTTACTTTCTTCTGATAAGGAACGAGGTCTATGAGTTATATCTATGAACTTCTTGCCCTTGGTTCCATATGGTTAAGTTTTTCTTTTGGCTTTTTATTGGTTCTATTTCAAAGCTTGAAGATTATCCAGTCTGCCTTCCACTTCTTGTCATTAATAGGCCCTGATAGTTACAAACGAAGACAATAATGAACAATTAGGAAAATAATTTGCATACTGTATCTTACAATTGCCCAATGTTATTGTTTATTTTTCTGTCATATTGATTTCCAGCGTTTGTTCTTTCAGAAATCAATTCTTTCAGATTTGATACAAGAAATAGAACCATTAGACGTGAGCCTTATACAAAGAGATGTTCCACCTACTACCTTGGATGCAATGAAGAGGACCATCTCTGGCATGTTGGGTTTACTTCCCTCTGATCGATTTAAAGTTTTAATTGAGGCTTTATGGGAACCTCTCTCCAAGTTGTTGATCTCTTCAATAATGACTGGGTAAAATCATTTGTCTTATTATTATCAATCCATATTCTATGGTCCCTCAAAGGTCTGAATCCATTAATTTTGTAACATTGGTTTCCCTTGGCATTTAGTTGAGGGAGTAATTGGGTTTGTTATAGTTTGAATAGGCCTTATTTTCAGATGTCATCAATCTAAAAGCATATAAATTAATATGTCATTGTAACTTACATCAGAAGTTATTAATTGCTTTGTTAGATAACATTTTTGGTAGCCTTCAATAATATTTTATCAACTATTTTCTTGTACGATGTCGGGTAACTATGAATTACTTTTCTGTTTGACTTGTAGGTATACATTGCGCAATGCTGAGTATAGGCTTTGCCTTGAAAAAAACTTTGAATATGAAGGCAATACTGAAAGCCAAGAACCAGAAAACTCTAAACTTGATTTGCAAGGGACAGAAGAAAATAGTGAGAAAATGAACCAATATTATGAAAGAAATGCTAAACTTGAAAAAGCAACTGAAGACCTATGTGATAATATTGGCATCCAAGGCCTTGGTGAAGTCTCCCCTGAAGCTCAGCAATATATTCTTGATTTGCAGTCTCGTTTATCTTCTGTGAAAAAGGTTCATATTCTGGCAACTTATGTTTGTCAATGAACAAGTCATCAATGAGTTCTCAAGTTCCTTGTTATATTTTGCTACTTTACTTAAGCTATTTTGCCCTTAATGAATTTTGGTATGCATAGAATGGTTGGAATTAATAAAGGCTCCATTAATGTAATAGAACAACCCAAAGAATTATATCATCTTTATTTGGTGGAGGATGTGAGTGTAGGTACAAAGGGTGGGTTGCATTATGTGTGAAATAGAAAGCTCTGATGGGAGGAATAATGTGGATTGATCACTTCATAAGCTAACGGTAATAACTGCCTGTTTTTGAACCTTCTTGTGATTCAAAGAATGTGAGTTAGCCATTACTTAAAAATGCTTCAATTTTTCTATTATGTGTTTGCCATTCAATCTTTATGGTCTGAGGTTTGTTTTTGAAATGGAAAATTTAATATAGATGATGTAGTTTCTCTGATCATGTGTGTCATACAAATTTGATTTAGCTGATGGAGTTGGTTTTTCTTAGTTTGGGCTGTTGAAACTGTAGATATGGATGTCAAACTTTCATGGAATATAGGTTCATTTCACGTACCTTGTATCCAAGAAAAAGAAAGTTCTGATAGGAGAAGAATGTCTCTAGCACTTTTAGATCGAGACTTTTCGAGGTTATGTTAGCATTGTTATTGACAAGTAACTGTCACTTAATATTACTCTGAACTTTTTCGTTATTTCTTATTCTTTAATCCCCTCGTCTGGACCTCTTATTGAGAGTTGTCAATTTGATTTTATTTGATTTTGGGATGCCTGCTCTGCAGTGGCTTGGCTAGTTTTTTTTTTTCCTGAGCTTTTTTAAGAAAGAGAGGAGACTAACATTAGAAAGTTGTTAAAATGCTTTGTAATTAATAGATAATATGCTACTCATTCTAAGTCATATTCTTTAATATTAGTTTCAGCCTACCTATATAAACGAGACATTTTGTTTTCAAACTCAGATATGAAGCTAGACAACGAAAGTTTTGCCGTTGGTTTTTGTTATGAATTTTATAAGAAACAACTAGAGGCGAACCATGAATGATTTTATACTTACATATTAAGGAGCCCGTTTAGTTTTAAGATTTTTATACATGCATGTCATGTAAGACTTCTGCATTTGATTATTTATAATTACAATTAAAAAGAAATGATACACAAGATTTCCTTTTGTGGTAGAAGATAGAAGGACGGTAGGACTGGTACTTTAGAACCTGTGTCTTAATGAAGCATCTAAGGATTATGGGGTCTGATGCTGCTGATGTCTTGCCTGTTCATATATTTTTGCTTGTTTTTGCCACAGTTCCCTGCCCCACAATGCTTTCCTTCTGTTTTTGTGTGGCTGCTTTATCAATATTGTTATCAACAATCGTTTATTATGGTCAGGCTGCATTTTTACATTTTTTTTCTCTTTTGTTTATTAAAGGAACTTCATGAAGTCAAGAGGAAAAGTGCTGCTCTTCAGATGCAACAGTTTGTTGGCGAAGAAAAGAATGATTTACTTGACTATTTAAGATCACTAAAACCGGAGAAGGTTCTATTCTAATATCTAAGTTGCTCTACTTATTCTCTTCTGTTTATGTTTTTGCCGAAGCTTTTTTGAATTACTGAACTTTTGCCTGCAAGGATATGCTACCATTGGATGCTGTTGTTGCAGCTTTGTGTCAAGTTGGTGATTACAGGCTTTTAGTAGTAATGACATTTTGCTTGAAAAAGTTCTTTAATATAATTGATAAAGCCAGAGGATTTGACATGTTAGATTGATGATGTCATGATAACATTTTTTACTTGCAAAATTTTCTTGAATTTTCCTGTTATCATGAGGACAAGCCAAATAGGTTGAACTTGGAATGAGGATGATAGTAAAATTGATATAATGGAGAAGTTTTCACCGAAAGCTGTTTCTGTTTGTTCATTCTCAACAACGGGTAGAGCACGTTGACTACAATTTTATTTAAGTGCAATTCTGAAGGCCATGGAAACTCGCCTGCTTCCAATAACATCTTAATATTAATTACATTGATTTTACATGCTGATGCTACAAGATTTAGTCTAATTTATGTTGGTTATGTATAGGGACGAGAACTGGCTTTTGGTTTAACTGTTGGCCGTGATTAATGCAACCTACCAGGTTATAATAACATGTTCTTATACATGTACTTATGTTCTTCAGCCTGATTTTATAAGTGTCTTATGTTTCAAAATGGGCAATGGATTTTCTTTTTTCTTTTTAATTATTTTAGCCTTCATACCATGGGTATTCTGTTTCTAATATGGATTTTTGTTTTGCACATCCAGAACCTGCTTAAGGTGTGGGCTTCAGTTATTATTTTCAACTAACAAAATTCTAAACTGTACAGGTGGCTGAGTTATCAGAGCCTACATCCCCTGAATTGAAAGAAGTAATCCACTCTGTAGTCCATGGCCTCCTGGCAACTCTTTCTCCTAAGATGCATTCCAAGGCTCCACATCAATCAGAGAACAGCACATTAATGGGGACACGAAAAATTGGGAGAGAAGGCTGTCCTGAACTTGTTGAAAACACCTCGCTTCAGTTCCAACCCCACATTTCCTTAACAAGGGACTATCTTGCACGTCTGCTCTTCTGGTTAGCCAAATCCTTTAACCTTTTTTTTGTTGTGCTTTAATCCTGATTTTCCTTTCTTTTTCCCTTGAAACTTTTTTTAAATTGAAAACTTCAATCCAGCTGGAAATAGATGTAGAGATGTCGATTCGAATCTTGATTACCTGCAAATTTAAACTACTTGGCAATAGCTTAGTCAGAAAACATTTGAACAGCAAATTTGACTGTTTTCACTTAGCATGTAGAATCAAGAAGCCCGAATCTTTCCTCTAAAGAAAAATATATATACATGTCTTTCATGTAAGCAAGCAAGAGGTGATTGACTTGTTCAGAGTTTGGAGAACTTGATTTTTGCCTCTCCACTGCAGAATTTTAAGCAATGAAATATTGAATCAGGCAGTTAATAAAACCATAAAAGGATGTAGGGTCAGTGAATTGAACATCTGGTGTGGCCATCATACGAATTTGTTGCATGTGATGAAGCATTAAATAGTTGTCTAGGTAAAAATATTACTTCCTTTTGGTCTAATTCTTGTCATTATTCCTTAAGGTGTATGCTTTTGGGACACTACCTTCGAGGCCTAGAATATAGAATGGAGTTGATGGAACTTCTGTCTGTAACAAGCAATGTGGAAAATGATGGCTGTTGATCAAGTTGCTTGAAGGTGCTATGCGTACTTCATATGTACATAGAAGAGTTTGTTGGTGTATACAAAGTTTGTTTTCCAACATGAAGAGAGTTCAAGTGAGAGGGCCAATAATGGTTTTGCTTATGAATAGGTTATCTTTGTGTAAAAGCATACTTGTTTTCTTTGTTATAAGAATACTTCTGTCATATTTCTTGTGTAAATTGTTTTCAGGTTAATGCTATTATAAAAAAAAAAAAAGTACTTTTACAAATAAATTATTTGCGTGAAAAGCTGTTTTCTTACCTATATAATTATTAAATATTAAATATTCTTTTTTCTCTTGTTTTTATTAGATAAAAAAAATAATGTGTGGTTTCTGTTTTCTTTTGAGTCCTGTATGGAGGATGATAGGTCCTAACGTTTGGAGTTGTTTTATTTTCTTTATTTCTAAATGGATGCTTGTTTATTTTTTGAGGGGCAAAATATAATTAAGTATCTAAATTATGTTTAAATTAACACTTAAGTATTGAGAAATAACTATGACATCTCATAGATCATTACGTCCAAAAAGTAAACTCTTTATGGTTAATTATACATATTTTTGGGACGGAAGTTTTGGGACGGAAAGGGCTCACTTTTGATGAAATGGCTCGATAATGAGTTAAGACATAAGTTAGTTATTTCTTAAATATAGTGATCTAAGTTTTGAATTGAATATAATTTCAAATCCAATTATATTATACCTTTTTTTTAGGAAGGATTTAAGTAACCAAATATTTAAAAAGTTGGTTCTCTGACTTGTGATTGCTTATTATCTCTATTGTCATCAAGGAATATGCAAAATTCATTTTATGTTATTATCTTTTATGCTAGAATGTTGCTTATTCGTTAAAGGAAACTAATTTGTGTTTAATATTTCTTCGATATGAATTCTATAAAATTTTTAAATTTTGAGTAAAAATGTAGTATGGAGGCTTATTTAATTTTGGTTGTCTGTGCTAAAAATATTGAGTATATTTAGTGATCAATTTTATTGAAAAATCAAAAGTATATTTTAATAATTTTAATCTATATATAATAGTTACATTTGATATTTAATAACACACGGTAGTGTGAATACGAGCACATTATTGCGCGGGTTAATTATAAATGTAATTTTATAAGTTGTGTCATGATATAATAAAATTTAACATTTTGTGATAAAAGTTTGTGTACGATACTTCATATTTGTTGATTTCGTACATAATAATTTAACTTATAGACAACATTATAAATGTTATATTGACATTGTCGTGTACATGTAATTACATAATAAACCATAATAGTATATGTGTAGCTTGATAGTGCTATTGGCCAAAATTTTTGTTATCACACAAATATATACATTTATCAACTAAATAAGGTTGAAAATTCATATATGTTCGTTTTTGTCTCAGTTAGCACAACTTTATTATAAATTTTTCAACGATACCAGTCTATTGTCAACATATAATAATTTAAAAATATTTTTTAAAAATAAAAATAATAATTAATAAAATTATTAAGAAATTAATTTGATCGTTATTTTATTTAAATAATCACCAAAGATAAATACATGAAATACTATATACAATAAGAAACTTTATTTGTTTTTTCTTTTTACATTTATACTAAGTAAAATTTAATGTTTTATCCATTTATAAAGTTTTTTAATGTGAATATATGCAAAATAAGAGTTTTTCAATGTCAATCCATTACATATTAATATTTCTCAAATGAAATGGGTAATTTGTATAAATAAAATAAAAAATAATTTTTATTAATTTTTTTTATCTTTGAAATTTTAATTTGAGTCAATTTAGACAAAAAAAAGTCAAAAAAAATATAAATTTATATAGATAGTATTCTTGAGTTTAAATAAGATATCAAATATTATTATTTTATTAATTAGAATAATAAAATAATAAATAAACATTATTTTAAAAGTATTATTAGTAGAGCTTTATATAAGTTTATAATATTAATCTTTAATTTGCTTGAAAAAATTATTATCGACATTTGATAATTAATATTCAACGGATAATTGTTTATAATAAATGTAATATTTAATGTTAACAGTAATATATATGTACGAATGTACGCAAACTACTAAAATTTTCAAATTCTAATGATTTCTACGTTATAAGAAAAGATATATCGCATTTATTGATTAATTGGATATAAAAAAAATAAAAATTATGAAAATAAATCAAATTAATGGAAAAAGTTAGTCATTAATAATTTTTTATATATAAATCAATGGTATATCAATTTTATATATTACAAAATTAACTATTCAAATTGTTTATACTTATGTTTTTTCAAAAATGTAATGGAAAACTCATATTAAATTTTGCTTATATAAATTTGCAAAAATAATTTAAAAAATTTTAAATGAATAATTTTTTAAGTTATGGCAAGAATGCAATTAAAGAATAATAAAAAGGTTAAGTGAAAAAATAATATTGAACAGAAATCTAATTAAATAATTATAAAAGGATTAAGTGGGTAAAATACTAGCGTGGTAAGAATGTAATTAAAGAATAATAAAAAGGTTAAACTGAAAAATAATATTGTGTAGAAATGTAATGAAATAATAATAAAAGGATTAAGTGGGTAAACTATTATTGGGGCAAGAATTTAATTGAAAAATAATAAAAGGGTTAAAAAGAAAATATTATATGACAAAAATATAATTAATAAAATGTGAAAGGGCTAAATGGACAAATCACTGTTATGGCAAAAGTGATTCTCTATGCGGCTTAGTTATATAATAATAAAATATACGAATTTGGACACTGATGAAATCTAAAATATGCTTATTAAATAAAATATCCTTCTAATAGAATTATTTGTTTTTGTAATAAAACACAATACATATAATAGGATATTTGAAAATTAAAATCAGGAAGAAAATACAAATTGATTCCTAAATTATAATTAAATTAGCATATGAGAATTTTTATTTTTAAAAACTAGTTATGATATTTATAAATTATGATTCTGTTAATATTTAATCATTCTATCTAAAATAATATCTTTCAAGTTTTGACTATCAATTGACTAAGAAAAGACTAATTGACCTTGTATAGAAAATATTTTTAAGATAGAAAGAAAATTGGTACTCAAATTATAATAACACTAAATATGAGGTTTTTAATTTATAATTGTATTAATAATTTGATCCCTTTGTCTCGGATGAAAGGATCAAAGTGTTAATAATATCATGATATAAAGACCTCATAGTTAATTTTTGAAAATTTAAATCATCATAAATTAATTTGACTATAATTTAGTGATCAGCTTATTTTTTTCCCCTTAAAATTATATTCTAACATCATCCACGTAATAAAATGTTTTATAAAAAAAATCCGAATAAAAAGAGTTATTTGCTCTAAAAGTTTTTTTTAACTGAACAATTTTAAAGTATTTTGATTGATAAAGAATTTGAAAATAATAGTTTGTGGTGAAATTAACTTGTTTAAACTTGTTTTACAGTCTTGTTTATAGATGAAATCAAGGTAAATAGATATTTTTTAAAAATTATTCAAATTTTATCCTAAAAAATGGTTTTATTTTAATGAAAAAATTATTTTTCATTGATTTAATTTATGAATAAATTCACAGAGTGAATTTAGAGAGTGAATGTAGAGAGTGAATGCCATTTGTCATGTTTCACTTTAAGCGTCCCCCAAAGGTGATATTACCTTCCAAACTCAGATTATGGGAGAAATATTAGTTTTTTTTTTTAATTGGAATATTAGTTTATTTATTATTTTATCAAAATACATTATTATGTTTTAAAAAAAAACACTAATTTTTGCTGTTAATTGGCCCAACAACATGTCAGCTCACATCCGTGATTGTTCATTGACAATTCATCTTTGTTTTTAGAATCTATAAGAACATTTCTAATGCAATCATGGATTGTGGTCGATGTGTCTTAATAAATAGAAGCTGTTGGTGATGATGTGGCTAAATGTGCATCTGTAGACGTTAAATTTTAAAAATAGCTCTCTAATAGCAACTCCAATATGATTGTGGGTTGTGGCTTATATGATATATTAAATAAAAGATATTAACAGTCATGTGGCTAATAAGTCTATTTGTGAATATTGAATTTGAAAAAGGGTTCCTCTAATGTATTTTAATTAGAATAGGATTTTACAATGATGTATATTATTTTTTTAAAATTATATCTAATTAATATCTAATTAAAATAAAAGCAAATAAGTTGAGGATGAGAAGTTTTAGCGTGAGAGAAGATAATGGAAAAAAGAAAATAAAATTAATAGTAAAAAAAGAATTAAATAGCTGAGTCACACTGATTAACGGACTTTCTGAAAATAGAGAATATGGTTCATAGTGTCTACTTTTTTTTTATACGTCAGCTTAACAGATTGAATAGACAATAGCATTGAAAATGATATTGTTGTTCAACTATCCATTTTTCTGATTTGGCAATTAGATAAACCACAATTCACAATCCCATTGGAGTTGCTTTGATGCTTTCTAAAAAAGAATTAAATAGCTGAGTCACACTGATTAACGGACTTTCTGAAAATAGAGAATATGGTTCATAGTGTCTACTTTTTTTTTATACGTCAGCTTAACAGATTGAATAGACAATAGCATTGAAAATGATATTGTTGTTCAACTATCCATTTTTCTGATTTGGCAATTAGATAAACCACAATTCACAATCCCATTGGAGTTGCTTTGATGCTTTCTGATTTTTTTTAAAACTTTATGATGATGTGGATTTTATTTTTCAAAATTATATATAATTAAAATTAAAGATATAAAAATATAGTAAACTAAAAACAAATTGTTGTAGAGTTGCTGGTAACAAACGATAATCAACTCAACCAAATACAAACAAAGAACAATAATAATTTTGCGATGTTAACTTCATATGTTTTATATGAAATCATGTTCAGCGGAAACTGAACAATATGAAATCTAGTCCAAAGCAAGATAAAAAGATAAGTTTCTTAACAAGCCAAGAGAAATAATGATGGAATTCCGTTTTTGTGTGTTTCATGCTTTCTAGTTATTTGCTTAAATCACTATGACAATAGGAGGGGTGGAAGAGGAGAGAGACATGGATTTTAGACGAGTTTTTAAGAAGTGCCAAAAATAAAAAAGAATGTAGGAACTATAAAGACAGTTAAGAGCTAGTTTTACATTAATTTTTGAGATTAATTCTAGAGCTATTTGATTACAAATACTGATCATACAATCAGAATCAAATTAAAACAAAAGACTGATAAAAGAATTAAAATGAAGAAAAAATATTACCTTGATCCAATTGCTAGAGCTCTTCTTTTGAACTTTATTTCGTACTTGGCACCTCTGGTGTTGATAATTTGTTAGATAGACAACCAACCATAATTTTATATTTTTTCGCCTAAACACGATGAAGAAACTCCATATTTTTCCATTTGAGCACGAAGAAGAAATCAGTTTTAGCGCGACAATAAATTTGAGCACGGATGAAAAGAAGGTGTAAAAAAAAACAGAATAAATAGGAAAAATAGAATGAATATCTAGGTCATGCTGTCTAACAGACTCTCGAGAGCCTAATGAACAATGTCTATATTTCTTTTTGACACATTAGACTCACATACTAAAAAAACAATTGCATTAAAGAAGGTAAGACGTGACAAATAAATTAGAGTAATTTATGGTCACATTGGAAATGCTCTAAATTAAAAGATTGCGTTGTTGAGATAATTTCCTTATCGTGTCACCATAAATTTGAAATCCATCAGCTATCAATTCATACTATCCGCAATCCCAATAATTGCCAAGCATGTTTCTTCACTTCCGGATTGCGAGAAAAAAAAAAATACAGTGTATTGATGGACAAAATTAAAAGTATCGGCCAAATCTTAAAAATTTGATTAAGCCTTTAAATTACTAATCTTCTCGTGCTTTAGCAAACGCATATATTATGCTAATACTTCAAAGTTCAAACTCTCAAAACTCACAGACCAAACTTCGCTCCAAAATCTTGAAGTTCGAAAGCTCCAACTTTCTTAATGCGAAATCAGGCCATCCTAACTTCTGCAACTCTCTCTGCTCTTTTGCAAGGTCGCATTCCAATTCCCCATCTCCTCCAAATCCATGCTAAAGTCTTTCGTCTTGATGCTCATCAAGACAACCTAATAGCCACTCGTCTTATTGGCCATTACCCATCTAAGTTTTCTATTCGTCTTTTTAACCAAATTCAAAATCCCAATTTGTTTCCTTTCAATGCCATAATTAGAGTCTTAGCTCATGAGGGTGATTTTCATGGGTCTTTTTTGCTCTTCCGAAGATTGAAAAGGCAGCACCTTTACCCTAATGATTTGACTTTCTCTTTTATTTTGAAGGCATGTTTTGGTTCTAAAAATGTGTTTTATGTGGAACAAGTGCATACCCATATCTTCAAAGTTGGTTTTATTACTGACCCTTTTGTTTGCAATGCTCTTTTAGCCCTTTATGCTAAAGGGTTTAAGGATTTGGTCTCTGCGCGTATGTTGTTTGATGAAATGCCTGAGAAAGGTGTAGTTTGCTGTTGGACTTCTTTAATCGCTGGTTTTGCTCAATCAGGTTATGCCGAGGAAGCTTTAAGGTTTTTCCGTTTGATGGTTAAGGAGAATTTGAGTCCAGAAGATGATACTTTAGTTAGTGTTTTATCAGCTTGTTCTAGCCTTGAGATTCACCAAATTGAGAAATGGCTAACTCTTTTATTAGAACTTATTAACGAAATTGATTCCAAGATTCGTGATTCAGTCAATAATGTTCTTGTCTATTTGTATGGGAAATGGGGGAATATTGAAAAGAGTAGGGAAAGATTTGATGATATTAGTGATGATGGAAAAAGAAGTGTGCTTCCTTGGAATTCTATGATAAATGCATATGTTCAAAATGGTGATTCTTTGGGGGGTTTGAATCTTTTTCGGTTAATGATTATGGATCCTACTTGTAGACCCAACCATGTTACAATGGTTAGTGTGCTTTCTGCTTGTGCGCAAATTGGTGATCTGGAGCTTGGAATGTGGGTTCATCAATACATGAAATCTAGAGGACAGAAAGGCGTTCTACAATCTAATAGAATTCTAGCTACTGCATTCATAGACATGTATTCTAAATGTGGGAGTTTGGACAAGGCAAAGGATGTTTTCAACCAGATGGTTTCCAAAGACGTTGTTTCATTCAATGCCATGATAATGGGTCTTGCAATAAATGGTGAAGGGGTGAAGGCGGTTAACCTTTTCTCCAAAATGCAAGAGTTTGGTTTGCATCCCAATCCTGGAACATTCCTTGGACTTTTATGGGCCTGTAGCCACTCAGGATTATCGGATGAAGGACAAAAGATATTCCTAGATATGAGTTCACGCTTTTTAGTCCGTCCTAAATTGGAGCATTATGCTTGCTATATTGATCTTCTTGCACGAGAGGGCCATTTGGAAGAAGCATTCAAGGTTACTACCTCCATGCCATTCAAACCAAATAATTTTGTATGGGGGGCATTGCTCGGGGGTTGCCTGCTCCACTATAAAGTAGATTTGGCTAAAATTATTTACAAGAGGCTTGTTGAAGTAGATCCAGCTAATTCTGCAGGATATGTAATGTTAGCCAATATATTTGCAGTTGATCATAAATGGAACGATGTATCAGCACTGAGGTGGTTTATGAGGGAGAAAGGAGTCAAGAAACAACCAGGGTGTAGCTGGATCAACGTTAATGGGATTGTGCATGAGTTCCTAGTGGGATCCCCATCACATCCTCAAATGGAGAGCATATATCATATCTTGCATGGGTTGGTGAGGGATATGAAAAATGCAAATCCTTAGGAAATGACAAAGCTGTGTATAGAGTTATGAATATGTCTTGACTGTTGAATGTCAGATTGAATTGCTACAGAGTAGTGCATGACTCCGTTGGGTGATTCGAGCGATGAAATTCTACATTGCACCACAGCTGGAGGGTCATTACTGGAGTGAGGAAAAAGGAAAATGAAGCTCTGACATATATAGAGGAAGCCAGGGAAAGGAGACAACTGACTCAATCTCTTCATTGGGGACAATTCTTTACACATGGAAAGCCACAGGAATTAAAATTAAGAACTGGTTAAGGCCTAAGAACATTTTTTTAATAGCTCAGAATTTGAATCAGAAGTTGTCTGCCTCTTCTCTTTTCCGGCAAAGGTATTGAATTTGGCAACATCTTGTGATTTCTTTGGTTCAATCTGTTGGTTTAGGGACAAATCAGTATCTGATCAGTCTGTTACTCTGCAAGAAACAACTGCTGTGACTTCTGCTGAAAATTAGTGGTGCCATAGCTTACAAAGTTTCAGGTTGGACTGCTTTCTAAGTTTACTCATATTTTCTTTTTCCTAATGTTTTTACTATTATTATTTAATTATGATGCTAAAGTTAATCGTAAATTTGTTGAACCTCTAGTAAGTTTGAGATGTTTATGGTTTCAACTCAATGATGTGGTTTTTCAGTTTCCAGTTTATTTGCTTTATAGATTCATATAGCAAACCCTAGTTAGTAGTTGTTGCTCGTCGTGTGTTTTGTTTTGTTTATTCAATGATTTCAAAATTTCCCTTTCAAAAGTTCTTTTTCCGCAAAAAGTGTTTCAAAATTTTTTCTCAGTTAATACTTCGCTTTGCATTGCTATTATTTTGATTAATGTGGATATTGGAAACAAATGATTCACATAGCCGATCCCAACTAGTTTGGGTTAAGGCTTAGTTATTTTTGTAATTTTATTTGCTTCATGGACTAGAATTGTTATGAAATGATGGAAATGAGAACATGCAATATCTCAACTTGAAAATGCCAGAATGTGAATGTTTACCTTTTAATTTCAGTTGCTTATTTTGTTGATAGTTCTTGTTGCACAGGGACTTCTGTGCTGGCTTTTATTTCATTAGCATGTCAAAGCCTTTTCTGGTTAGCTTTAATATGCTGTGCATCAGTTTCCATATGGCTTTTGGTATCATTTCTTGAGTAGTTATATTGATTTATTTTCAGGCAATTAGTGGAATTAACCAGGGATCAAGCTGTGATCATCACATGTAAGCACTCTGAAGAGCTTGATTTATTTTCAGGTAATCGGTGCTATCAGAGACATTGAGAAGGGGAGTTTCCCAAAGAGATGTTCACTGCATATAGAAATCCCTACATCAGTACATCTCTGACCTAAAAAAAAAAAGGCGAGAATTTGTAGATATATACCTTTTCTCTGAGAATTTGACAAGGCTTGAAATCTATTAATAATATGCTTTCTCCTAACTTTTGTTCATTGTCACACCAAGTTATCGGCTGTAATGCATGAAGTTTATCTGTAAATTTATCAAGTTCTGGATCCTTTTTTGGAGGAAAATTGCCTTTAGACAATTGTGTTGGTCCAGTCATTCAATTGGTTAATGCTGAGGTAAAAGTTATGCAGTAAAAGTTATGGAAGCAGCTTTTGTGATAATTTCTTTTAACTACAGAAATAAGCAAGACGACTCTCTCTTTCTGCAACTTGGGGTGCTAGTTTTGGCCACAAGAAACACGGTTTTCAGAGAGATATTTATGCTCTTGGATTTTAGTTTGGAGCTTTAGATGGAATCCATGTCAGAATTTTTCGAGGAATATCTGTTTGGAGGTGTGAACAGCTAATTGAGCTTTCGAAATTCTATACCTGAAACAGAGAGAGGAAAAGAAGAAAACTTAAATACAAAGCAAAACATGAAACAAAAAATGGAGAAGAACAAAAGGAATACTCCCAAAAGAAAGTAAAAACTTTAAATTTTAGAGGACAAATCTCAAAATGTGAGAAACCCTAATCGAGAAATAACAAGGAATTTATTAAGTACACGTAATACTCCTGCAATTTCTTTTCAATTCTCTTTATGCCAATTGGTCCAAACAAAATATTTTCTCCATACAGCTTGGGTAGTGCAGAAGTGGCATTTGATACCAAATTTGTTTCAGTAGTGAAAGGAATGGAATTGAGAATTACATTAACTTTTAACTTTGTTTCAGAATTTTCCCGTTAGAATGAAACCATAAATAAAAGCAAACTATAACAAATTTGTTTGCTAAGATCAACATATGGTTATTCTAGTTATTCTTTCCTTTCTCAATTTGCTGTTAATATCTAACAAGCCTTGTCACAGAGAGAGAGAGAGAGGGAGAGAGAGAGCATGAAGTATGAACTTAATATTTCCGAACCGAACTAGCTGATAAATCAAGTTGAATTAACCAAACTAATTGATTAGATAAAATAAATCAAATGAAATGCTCAAGTCAACGGTTGCAAGTTTTGTAGACCAAGCAAATATGGTAAATTTTCAATTCCATAATCATCGTAGCTAATGTTAATTAGTGTGTGTATATATATATATATATATATATAGTAACTAGTTCGTAGTTCCACACTTCGCGTGCGGTATAAATTAATTGTTTGATTAAAAATAATTATGCCATTTTGAAAAATTTTTATTTGTTACTTCCTGTTGAAACTTGAAACTTGAAACTTAATTGGAAGTGATCTTGATAAAATCTTAAAATAATAATAAATTGTCTTCATCTCAAAATAATAATTTTAAAATCTTAAAATATTAACTATTTAATATTTGAAAAATTTTTTTTTGAAAAAATCTATAATGTTTTGAAGACATACACAATAAAATGTGTGAGTAAGACCATTAATAATGTTGTAAAGGTCTACAACGTGAGAAGTTATATTTTTAATGGCTGGTTTAATAAGACTTAAACTTTACTGACTTCAATTTTGCTTCCAAAATCGAACCGAAACATAATAAGACTTAACAACAAAAGAAGTAGAATTAATTAAAATTTACTCTGTAAAAAAAATAATATTAATAGTTACATGTTAATTTAAATAAATACTAACCATGATTGATATTCGATATACACTACAACATACCGCGCAAAATTGAATTAGGATATCGATCGCAGAAATGAAAGTGCCACCGATTTGATCGATCGCAGAAATGAAAGTGCCACCGATTTGCTACCGCCGCAAATCGGTCGCAAAATAGCTCGTCGTTATTTATACTGCAACGAATATTGGTGTCCACCCTCGGTCATAATTATATTAAAATCGATCGATTTTGTTACAGTTTTTGGCGCAAACTTGCAGTCGCAAATCCATGGGTATTGCCCATGGTCGCTGAGTTGGTCGCGAATCAATTGCAATTGGCAGTATTTTTACTGAAATACGGTTGCTAATTTGTCACAAATCGATCACAATTTAGATTTTAAAAAATAAATTTCAGTCGCAATGCCCTAGGAGATCAGTCGCAAAATGCAAATGGCGGAAAAAAAAATATTTAAAATTTTTAAAACTAAAAATTTTTTCACTGCTAAAAAACAACAAATATGTGCATAAAATCCAAATATTCAACTCCTCATTATAATACAAAAAACTAGCCTAAACATTGTATTTTTACAAAATAAGAAATTTAAAGCAAAATAATAAAACTGAAACGGTCCAAAGTCGAATCTACGCTGCTTGTCTGCTGAAGTGGCTGCAGGAGGCTGTGTAGTTCTGCATTATGTGCTGTAGTGTCTTCGGGACACGTTGTAGTATCTGTTGGAGTCAGCAAGGTATCTGCAATAGCAACTACAGTATCCGAGAGAGAAGCGGGAAGATGCAAAATAGTAGGAGGATGTGAGGGATCAACATCAGTATGTGGGCGAGACATCTGCATGACATGTGTTCGAAGCTTTGCGAGTTGCCTCTCCTGCTCGTCAAAACGAGCCTATAAAGCACTAATCTCCTCAGCACTAGGGTCTGGCTGTGATCATGTCGCAACACTAGCAGAGGCGACATTTGTTGAGCCAGAGTAGAATTGTGCTACCTGAGAGCCAATTTCATACACTTTTCTCTTCTTCATGCCTCCTGCGGCCTGCAAATATAACGCTAATTCATCAACAGTCGGCTCAGCTCCTGTTACAACTTGCTGGAAAGAAACAACACTCTCGCGAGCTATAGTGTAATTCTCCTTAAAATAATAATTTTCGGTAGCAAAATCACAGGAATTTCAAAGCAGAAATATTTAAGAAAATCACATTTAAAAAAAATATACTTACATTAATGCCCATCGCACGCCCGTCGATTAAAGTATGCCCATCATAGTCCTTCGTATGGGTGTAAGTGAAGACCTCTATCGGAGTAGGCTCGCGATGTAACGTCCCATTTTTCTATTGAATCGAGTCGTTGCTTAGAGTCGAGTCGGGCTGATCCAAAACCCGGTTCGATCCATTAGATTCTAGAGTGAAAATCACATTTAAAAAAATATAACTTACATTAATGACCCATTCGTAAAATGATTGGAGGCATATATGGTAAGCAAAGGAATACAATTGTAGTGAAATTGAAGTCCAAAAATGCATGAAAATCAAAGTCGCGAGCGCGCCTGTGTAACGTCCCATTTTTCTATTGAATCGAGTCGTTGCTTAGAGTCGAGTCGGGCTGATCCAAAACCCGGTTCGATCCATTAGATTCGAGAGTGGGCTAGAATGGGATGACATTGAAATAAGGAAAAGAAGTGGACTTACTTGAAGGAAACAAAAAGATCAAAGTATAAGGATTAGGACTTGATTTCACTAAAGTATAAAGTTGAGGTATTTGAGTTGGTACCATTTTTGACACTTGAGGTCATTTGGTAATTTTCAACATAAAAATCAATGACATTCTAGAAGACTATACCCGTGCATTCCATTTTTTCATTTTCATTTCTTCATCCTTATCTTCATCTTCTTCCTCTACTTTCCTCTTACACTTTCTTTTCTCCATCATGTTTAATGGTGGGGAAGATGTTAATGGGAGTTAAGCATTAATTCAACTTCTATTCTATCCAAGTAAGTAAACCTTCTTAAATTTCATACTTGACTCATTTTGTGATATTGTTAGATAATTTATAAGAACTCTATTGTATAGGAGAGGTGAGCCAAAGGTAGAAGGAAGCTAAAAGATGAGCTTAAGCTTATTGGCGTAAAGGTGTGCTATCTCTTTTCGTTTAATTAATTTTCTTGCATGAGAATTTGTGTGGTGTGTTGATAATGAGAAAGTATGTTATTTCATGTTGAGTAAGATGACTGAAAATGGTGAAAAAGCATGAGATGAGATGAAATGAATAAATGAAGTAGATATTGAGGAGTTTATGCTGAAACAGGGGAGTTACTGGTACTGGAAATTTTACCAGTAACTTCATCTTGATTTTGACCCCATTTAATGATGGAATTAGGAAGTGTCGTAGAAGAGTTATTTGTTCCTCTACGTGTTAGCTTTACATGGGTTTTTGAATCATTCAAATCGGAGTTGTATATTGAGAGATATGATCAAAAGAGTACAGACAGTGCAGGCTGGAAAACGCCACGCGCGCGCGCGCGAATTGCATGAAGAGCTCGCGACTTGTGCCTGAAGCTCACTGACTCTCATTTTGCACTGTACGCGCTCGCGACTTTCACCTGAAACTCGCGGCTGCGACTTTCACTTGAAAACGTCTCTCCTTCTCATTTTGGCACTTCTCGCGCTCGCGACTTTCAAGTGCGCGCTCGCGTACTTGGCCCTTGGCCTGTAAGCACTCGCGACCTTCATCGCGCGCCGCGAATTTGCCTTGGGAACTCACTTGGGTCTCTCATTTTTGGCACTCTACGCGCTCGCGGACTTTCAAGTACGCGCTCGCGACTTGTGCCCTATAAACCACTGTCCTCTCCATTGGCACTTTTCTCGCGCTCGCGACTTTCAAGTTGCAGCGCTCGCGACTTGTGGTTTTCATTGCACTTTTTGGGACTTCTTTTTCTTATTGCAATTGGATCCTTTCTCACTTTGTTATGCCTCCAATCATTTTACAACAAAAATACAACATTAAATCATGTACATTTTACAACAAAAATACAACATTAAATCATGTATCAAAGCAACATGCAAGCATGTAAATGATGTGAAATGAGGTAAACACAATTTGTAATTATATTCTATGCAATTGTGAAATGATGTGAAATGGTGTATGAAGTTATGAATTCTATATAATTGTATTCCTTTCTCAACTTGTATGTCTTCAACCATTTTAAAACAAAAAGACAACATGTATACATGTATAAACACAAAATGCAAGCATGCAAATGGTGTGAAAATAACATGACACAAGCATACAAGTTAGGACACAGTTACTTTGCTTTTGTTTTATCTTTTTCCATTAATATGCTCATTGAGGTTAGGTAGAAACCATGTAGATTAAGGCTATGTCAGCGGACATAGAATAGTAGATCCATGGCCCGCCCCATACAGTTGGATACTCCAGCTACAGGCCGTGCCTCGTTGAGTGGAATGATTAATACAAAGGCCATAAGCAGCAAGCAATACAGTTTCATCCAGTTCACACAGTTTTTCATATTCACTTCGGTTTCACTATAACCTTATGGAAGCTATACCAATTATATCGGCACTACAAATTGCATTCATACAGTATACTAAACAGGCAAGAAAGATCATTAGGGAAAATGAAAGTATCATGATATAGTATTTGCTTAACATTCCATATGTGAAGTAAATGGTTTATTTCTACATATGTATGTTGCTTTTATATGTTTCTTCATTCAGGTGATATTTCACTGAGTTTATATATGTTTCTTCATTCATTGTGATATTCACTGAATTTAATCAAAGTTGCAGAGTTCATACAGCATAAAGAACATCAGGTAAGATCATGAAAGTAACATGTTATATATGCTTACGCGTTTATTTATTTAATTCTTAAGGAGCCATACAGTCATGAGATGTTATTAATCATAACTTATATGATGTGACTAAAAGTGCATAAGTTATACAGCATAATGAATAGCAAGTAAGACAATGAACATATACTGTTATGTAATCTTACATGTTTATTGATTTCATTCATACAACACAATGACCAGCAGGTAAGATCATGATAGTATCATAAGGTGTGATTTAAGGTTCATGTAAAGGAGTTATGAGATAATTAGAACTAAATTATTGATGTTTATGGAATTAGAAGTTTATTCGGTTGCCTATAAAGAGAACGTTTAAATGTTGAAATTTACTTGATTTCTATGAGTATCAATGCTTTATGAAATTTGTATTTTAAGTTAAATTGGTATTTGAAGTTAGTTGCCATCGAATTTTGTTTAGTATGTGAAGTATGAGAACCACTGAGTTTTATACTCAGCGCGTCGATTTTTATCACGCGCAGGTTGAAGATCGTGATTACTACTTGAAGACTTGAGGAGTACGTTCAAAGCAGAAGTGACTAACTTGGTCATAGTAGATTGAGAGTTGTAATATTAAAATTTATGGCATGTATAATTTTTCCATTTGTTAGAGCTTCTGTAATTGAAAATATAAGTGAAACATGTAATTATTTTGGTGTAAGTAGTTGGAGAGAAGAATAATATTTATGAAATGATTGAAGATGAAATAGTTTACTATAGTTGGTATGATTAGGTCATGAAAACTTGATATAGATTCTGAATGAAATTAATGGATTTTCAATGTGCTATTGAGGATTATACAGTTTATGACTATATATATAAAGTGTTTGTTGGGTTATTGTGATTAGTTGGAGGATATTGAAAGTTTGAAGGTGTAATTGAGAGTGTTTATATTTCATATTTAGCATACAGAATGATATCAAAGCATGACAGGAGATATCAGCATGACAGGATATAAGTTCAACCAGATTGTAGCGTCTCGGCTCGGTTCATTCGGGTTAACGGGTGGACCGGGAAGGGATGTTACACGCAACCCATTTTTCCAGCCTGCATTGTTGTTCAACATATATAATATTAACATTAACATTATTATTCCACTAACAAACAGCCTGTATAAGTGCTTCTGTCTCACCAGTATCTTACATGTCTCTATAGCAGATATGGATCCACCAGTGTGTTTAAACATACCTGTTCCGTCACCTCCAATCTCACTGTGTCTATTCCATACGTAGATCTCACACTTTCTCTTAAATGCAGGATCTTCTCAAGCTTTCTGCCATCTCTCCCATATCTCCTAAGATATGCATTGTTGCTTCTTTCCGCTCTTTTGCATCCTATACGTGAAGTTAGATTATCGATTAGCGCACAGCTTCTCCCAAGCCACTTTAAGCATTGCTGTACTAGCCTCGTCCCATACAAAATGCTTCTGCAAAAAATAAAAGACAATGTTTATACGAAATGAGTCAGTGATTTCATTAACTTGAAACGTATCTGATTAAAGTCAATAAGTATTCAAAATTTACCTTAAACTCATCCCTGTGACACCCAAAATCCAGTTCGTAAAACATGATCTTAAGAGCCACATTAGGTTTAACACCAAAGTATTAAACGGGCATGCTTAATACTTAACAATTTAAAAGACGTTTCTTTTAGTTTTACAAAAATGACTTAAAAAATTTTTGAAAAAATCCTATAGAAAAACTGCAAGAGTTTTCCTTATATATTCAGTATCACAAAAACATAGAAAACATTTAAAATACTTCTATAATCCGTCCACACCTCAACTACATTTTCAAATTTATTTTCCCAACACAACTCCACATTCTCACCCATCATCCAACACATCTTTTTCCCAACACAACTCCACATTCTCACCCATCATCCAACACATCTCATAAAAGCTCAACACAGATAATAAATTAATTCCTTTTAATTGAAAGCATTTAAGATATTCATTCTATGCCATAAAATATTCTGACTCTGAAAATAAAAATATTGTTCCAAATATTTAGTTCATAACCTTTTGACTTAAATAAAAATATTTAGTGCCTTAATTATATTTACATGCCGCTAGATTTTTCTAAAGACTGAAATAAAAGAAAAACCGGTTGAACACTGACTGTAATGGAATAGGAGCCTCTAAATAGTCTGATGCTCGCTGTGGATCGTCTATCCCAAATCAGTAACCTGCACGTCGCATAAAGTTTAGTGGTGCTTATTTCCCATTTATAGCAGGGAAATACACACAAGCATTCATAATATCACATATTATCATACACAACATTTTATCATAATCAGGTAGCATAATCATGATATAACATATTTCAGACGTATAATATAAATATTCATAGTCAGCATGCTTAATTAAATCCAATAATCATGCATCACTAAATTAAGCATACTTAATCATGATATCACATAAATCAAACTAAATTAACATTACTTATAATCATGCATCACTAAATTAAGCATACTTAATCATGATATCACATAAATCAACATATGTTCATAAAAGCAACAAAATTATTTATTAATTAATTTATAAAAACTATATTTTTAATTAGGCATTTAGCATACTTAGAAGAATCAAATAGCAGGCAGAGAATTTCATAATAAACATATGGCTCCAAAACCCATATAACATCATACGATCTGTCAGTCAGAATCAAATGGTCATATTCAGAAAATGAGGTTTATTAGCTCCTATAAAAATTGGAGTTTGTTAGCTCCTATAATCCTATAAAAATCTTTCTTTCGTCCATAATAAATACAAATTGCATTTTGGTCCTTGCAAAATGTCATAATGGTCCTTAAAATTCTCTTTTTATCCAAATCCTCCTTAAGTATAGGGAACTTTCTCCTTAGTCCTTGGAGCATGTCCAAATAAGTCCATCAGCTATAAAAATATTATTTGGTACCTAAAATAAATTTTGTCTTAATTAAATTTGTATATAACAAGTCCAATAATTCATTAAAATTATCCTTTATTATCTTTAACATCACACTATAATATTTACATATCATACACACAAAATAATATTTAAACATCATAAAAATAATACCATAAGATTTTGCCAACCTTAGAAAAATACATTAACAATATTTAACTTTCAAAAAATTCATATTTAACAATTACAACATTCATAAATCTAGATTTAAGCATCAAATCCCTAAAAACTAACATAAATTTTTAAGAAAAATCAATATTATATTCGGCCAAATCAACACCCATGTCAACACCCATGCACTAAAAATTTACACAAGCACATATTCACAAATATTGAACATTTGAAGCATAGATCAACTTATTTATAACTCAAAAATTAAGTCTTGAAGCATGTAAACAAAGAAATCAAACATAAATTCCTTGAATTTGGAGGTCTCTCCCTCTAAATCAAGAAAAAATGAGGAGCTTTAAAATAAAAATGAAAATGAAATATTTTTTGATACTAAAAAGATACAAATGGCATGTTTTATGCAAGACTAGCCATGAAGAATGAAAATGAACGAGGGTTTGAAGATAGAGAAAGACAAAGAAGTGTGTAAGAATCTTACTTTTAAGCTTGAATCTTGAGAAATAGACTCTGAATCAAAGCTTATGAGGTCATTTATCCTCTAATATACTTGATTTTTAAGAGAAAATATGAAGTTTAATGAAGGAAAGAGTGTGTGTAAGATTTGGTCATTAATGGAGTAAAAGAAAGAAGAAGAAGGAGAGAGAGAGAGGGAGAAGAGAGTTGGCATAGGGTATGGGGAATGATGTAAGGTGAGAGTTTTTTTTTTTTTTTTTTTTTTTTTTTTTATTAGTTAATGAAGATATTAGGTTTAAGATCATAGGCGGATAATAGTTGCATATAAGAATTATTAACCATAGGTTTTTTTTTTTTTTTTTTTTAGTTAATTGAATATATTAGTTTAAGATCATAGGATAATAGGTGCATATAAGATTATTAACCATAGGATTCGGTGATTTAACTATTTTAAGGAATCTTTTTTTAAAATAATATCCTTTGGTCTTTGCATGGTAGTTTAAGCATAAATCCTTTGTCTTAAACCATTGGGTAAAAATATGTAGGTGCACACACTAATTTTGTCTTTATTATTAGAATGGTGTAGATTTAATTTGGTCTTTTTCAATCCAATAGCTAGAATTTGACACTATATATATGCATAATATAAATTCTAACTGTCTAGCATAAATTGCACTGTGTTATCAAAACACTGTCTCCACACATGACAAATTATTAAAATACCATTATAGCACTGTAATTCATTAGAATCATAATTAAATCATGTTAATGCATGATTAGACTCTAAAATGATTTAATGCATGCTAATGACATGTTATAAAAATATGGATGTGACAATTCCAATAAAAGTCCCTCGCATCTTTTGTTATCCATCTTTGTCTAAATGTAACTTGAATATCCTTGTAATTTGCCCAGACGTTCGAGAAGATGGATATATGCTTTAAAACAAACTAAAGTCACATGTAAATAGAACCATTCATGAAAATGAGCGTAAAATAAAAGAGTAAGAAATAAGTGAACAAGTACTTATTGTTCCACTACTGATTTGAGCTGATTATGTGGCTTCGATGAAGCTGCGAATGTAAAAAGAAGATAAATATTCATTCAATTACAAAATGCAATATATATAACTAAAATTACAAGAACTTGTATTAATTAACAGTTATGATTACCTGGTGCAGAAGGAGACTATAAAGCTAGTGAAGACTTTGACTGTCCAGCGTTTGGTTTAGAAGGAACAAAAGGAGGTGGAGGTGTCATAGGGGGTCGAACAAAAGACGAAGACCTAAGTGTAGAAGAAGGAGGGAGAGGAGGTGGAGGGAGGATAGCCCTCCCTTGTCCACATGTCTTATGTCCTCGGCCTCGACCTCCATGAGGTCCATCATCGGCCGTGTTTGGATCGACTCCCTTGCCTCTACTCATATTTAGTATAAATGATCCAACCTACATATATATGCATATATATAATTAATCTATTAAATTATATAAAAAATCAGTTTGCATTTTAAGATCATTAATATTGATAGTTTTTACAAAGAGTTCGTTGCACGTATTTATTTAATTATTATCTAAAATACAATGCATCTAAGTATCTTCATCTTCTTCTTTGTCATCTTTAACTTCTTCTTCTTCTTCTTCTTCTTCTTATTCTTCTTCAGTACCCAAGACTATATGTTCTTCTTCCTCCTCTTCATTTGATGAACCTATGTCAACAAAAGTTCCGTTTTCATCATCCAATCTATCAGTTAAATCTTCAACTACTTGCATTGGTTGCATATCGACTTCAACTCTTGAAATGACTCAAAGTTTGATACTGCAACAGATTGTTTGCTTTCAACTTCTAATACAATTTCTCTAGCCTTGATTTTGCATACCGCCATCCAATCCAATCGATCTCGTTTCAAAGATGGATACGGAACATAATACACCTACGCAGCTTGCATCACCAATACCAATGGTTCATACTTCGTATATCTTCTTCTATGATTAATATCCACAAAGTTATACTTCGGATGAACCTTCATATCAATATTTGGCATACAATCAAACCATTCACATTTGAATAAGATTGTGCGCTTTATTGATAAGGATGGATACTCCAACTCTAAAACCTCCACTAACTTCCCATAAAAAATTATTTGACTCGTCGCTATAGTTTGATTCCTTTATGCAAACCCCTAACAGTATTTTTCTGTTTGTCCCGTAGTCTCAATATGAAACTTGTATCCATTTACAAAGTAACCAGAGTATACATTAGCTAGCGATAGTGGTTCTCTTACTAGATCGCCAATGAATTTGTTATCAATATTACTTTCAGAATTCCTAGCCTGTATGAAATAACAATGACACAAGGTAAGAGTAAGATATTCATTTTTTACTGTGAGTAACTGGAAAGGTACTTACACAACATTTACTGTGAATGTTTAAGAGGTGGTTTTGTGGTGTTGAAAGAGGTGAGGATGAGAATTGAGAGATTTGGATATTCTTAAGGGCAAAATAGAAAATCCATATTTATGTCCAAGTGAAACCCACTCATGCAGCTGAATTGGTTGAGTTGTAGCTCTTTTTTTCCATGTCATATGCCACATATAGTGTCATGTATGTTTCCGATGATTTTTTGTTGAAAACTCACTTCGGTCACTTTTGTGTTACAAATACAAAAGTTTAATCTGTTTTAAGATAAAATTTTAAGATGTGGGACCTTGAAGTGATTACCCCTTAGGTTGAAGTACCGTGGGTGAAAATAAGCCAGAATAAATTAGATTTCAAAAGTTAGCAATTATCTTTATTGTATATATAATAAATATTAAATTGAAAAAAATTAATTAAGTTAGCCAATCAAAATACAAAAAAATTAAGAAAAAATCCAAAATTTTCTTGAAAAAAAAAATAGAATACTGAACAAAGAAAATGTTTTAAACCTTCTCTTTGTTACAGTTTTCATATATATAATATAGATTTGTAAATTGATATGATAGACCCATATTGTTAATCCATAACAAAATTGACTCTGAGTCATAAAAGAATAAGGTATTCATTGTCTATTTAGAAATTTTAATTATTGGCCAAATGCATCAATTCACCCTTGTATTTTACGTTAAAAGAAATTTGTGACACTCTTAAATTGTTATTATTATTGCCAATATAAAAAACCAAAAATATTAAAAACTTTTTTTAAGCATTAAGGAGGGAACTTGAACCTAAATCTATTAATAAGTTATATATACACTTACCACTAAGCTATGCCTTAATATGTTATAAAAATTATTATTACTAATATGAAGAAGTGTCAAATATTACTAAAATTCACAACTTTAAGAACATAATAATGGCATTTGGTTTAATGGTTCATATCAGCAAATAGCTGATAGCGGTTAACTTATTACTATTCGTATTTGGTAAAATTTTAATAGTGGTTGTTGTTAGAACAAAATGACCATTAAAGGTAACTATTTTTATATAGTATGGTGTATAATATGTATATGCATATTTTTTTTAATGAAGGTGAATATATTATTTTTATTTTAGTGTCTTATATGAATAAAAATATTAATTAAAATTTAAAAAAATGTTTAAGAAAAAATCTTATTCTTAAATAACTATAAATAAAATGAGTATAAAAAATATTTACTTGAAAAATTAATATTATTTGCAACTGTTTTTATGAGGTTAATGAAGGTCAAGATAATATAAATACGAATTAATTATAAAATTTACATGAATCAACTGAACTAAATGTCTTCTACATCCATGTAAAATTTGAAATGCCACAAATTTTTTTTACACAAAATGTAAAAGTGAATTTATATATTTGACCGTTTACAACTGTGTTCTCACTAATTATTTGAGGAATTAATTTTTGTTTGTTTCAGATAAATTTTTTCCTTTTATTTATTATTGGAAAATCAACATTTAATGAACAATTTTTTGAAAAGATATTTAATAAACATTTAATATAGTCTAATTATGAATTAAATAAAAATAGCTAAAAAATGACAAAAAAGAATATTTAAAATCTGATTGAGAATTTGATTAGCTAGCATAGAGTCAAAAGAAAATATTTGTTTAGAAGAAAGAATTTCAAACACATACACAAATTCAAAGCTTCCTGAAAGAATAAAATATTCTTTGAGATATTACTGACTTCCTATCATATATTTAGGTTTATTGATAATAAATATGTCATTATGAGAAATTATTTAGTGGGGTTAGTGCTAATTACTTTCTCTCACATACAAGTGTGATTGTATTAGTAAATTTGATATGTTGTTGATTCAATAATTATCGTATAATGCTTTTCTTTTAATTAAATATCTACTGTTATGAGCTATAATAATATTTAATTAATTAATTTGTAACTAATGAAAAAAATTAGAATTATAAATTAATTAAGCTAAAAGTTTTCGCTCAAGAAAAATTAAGCTAAAAATATCTGAAAAGATATTATATAAAATTTGAAGTTTAATTTATACCAAACTCTATTTCTTACTCCTTCAAAAACCCTAGCTAGAATTAAAAGCTGTCAATAAAAGCTGTTCCTCACAAAGTCACAACTACTTTCTCTCTCTGTAATCTTTTTTGAACTCTCACTGAATGATATCAAAGATTAACTCCAACCAAATTGATTTCTCTTGTTCCCGAAATCCTCTTCAATTTTTAAAAACCTTCCATACTTGCTCTTCTACCTGATATCTTTCTTTTCTTTTCTCTGTTATTGTTTTGTTAAGGATGGATAGGCGCAAACATGACGACCTTCAATGGTCTTCTTTCACGGTGGAAAACCCTTCTTTCACGGTGGAAAACCCTTCTTTGGTGGTGGAAAATCCTTCGTTGATGGCGGAAAATCCTTCGTTGATGGTGGAAAATCCTTCTTTCATGGTGGAAAACCCTTCTTTGATGGTGGAAAATCCTTCTTTGATGGTGGAAAACGCTTCTTTGATGGTCGAAAACCCTTCTTTACTGGTGGAAAACCCTTTTCTTTCTCCTTATCTCTCTCAGACCCTAAACCACCACCACCTCAACAACCTTGGCCTTGCTCCAGCGCCTGAGCAAAACAACCACCACCACCCTCAAAACCCTATTTCCTCCCCTCAAAACCCAAATATCCAAAACCTAGTCCGCTTTTACCAAAACCCTCGCAATTCTCAAAACCACCTACTTTTACGGGAGAATCTCCACCACCAGCACCAGCACCACCTTACATATCCAATGGCTATTGGGACTTCTTTAGAATCTGGTTTACACCTAAACCCTAACCCTAGTCTTGCTGAAACCTTGGACTTGGAAAACCAATACCACGAAACCCTCGAAACTGCCTTGAGCCGTATGAACATATCGGCTACTCATTCCTATCCGTCTCCTCACCATCACCATTCTAATTCTTTAATAAATAGAGGATTTTCCAATCAACAACAGCCTCTAAATAGGATGAGAAGCATATCTGCTAATCTTGGTCTGCTCAGGGCCGCAAATTCAACTTCTCTTACTGATCGCCACCGCGCTCTGTTGAACCAATCTTTTTCTAACAATAACAGAATCAATCTGCAGCGTCGAAGCCCATCTTATGATGGGTTTAATTATGATTACTCAACTAGGTCTAATGTTTTTAGGCCTAGTTCTGATTCCGTTTCTGGTTTTGATTCTCAATTTAGGAGGGCTCGGTCTGTTAATGGATTAGAAGAAACAAATTCAAGTCCATTGCTTTCTGCATTGTATAATCGTCAATCAAAGAATCAATATACATTGGATCTTGTAAAAGGGAGAGTGGTTATGGTAGCAAGAGATCAAGAAGGGTGTCGTTTCTTGCAAAAGAAGATTGAAGAGCAAAAGGCTGAGCAAATTGAGATGATTTTCTTGGAAGTGAAAGATCATTTGTGTGATTTAATTGTTGATCAGTTTGCTAATTATCTTATTCAGAAGCTTTTTGGTATATGCAATGAAGAGCAAATGGGTCAACTTTTACTTTCTTTGATAAGAAATGAGCAAAAACTTCTAGACATTTGCATTCATCTATATGGGTATAGCTCATTCATTATCTTATTTATTTATTTTATAATTAATTCTCTTAAATTTTATTTTATTTTTTTGGTGCTGTATTTATAGGACTCGTGCTGTACAAAAAATGATAGAGCATATCAGAACCCCAGAGCAAACATCCACTCTTATATCTTCTTTGAAGAATATTACCGTCTCCTTGTCCAAACATCAGAATGGTCACCATGTAATTCAACAATGCATTAAATGCTTTAGGGTTGATGATACTAAGGTAACGTATTATTCATTCACCTATAGTTTGATAGTACAATTGGCTATTGAACTAAATGTGCAACTTGTTTGAATTAAATAAGTACAATGTGCTGTGTAATTGGAAATACTATTTATACAAAACTACATAGTAATAGACCAGCCAAGCCCATCTAATTTGAGATTCAAAGTACCATTTTATGTTTTTAACTCATTTGAAAAAAAGTCTTTTGTCTAATTAAATGGGGACAATCTTTATCTTTCCCTTTATTGTGTGAACAGCATATTCCAACATGATTAGCAAAAGTTTGATTAGGATAGAGAAAGGTTTAAACTTATTGCACTATTTTTATATGACATTAGTCATTTGGGTCCATTTAGATTAAACATCTCATGCATGTTCATGATATTATAATTTGGGAACACATATAGTACTTTCTCAAATGTGAGGAAAGGAGGGAGTAATAGATTTTTCGTGATGATGCAGTGCCTTCTTGAAGAAATAGCTAAAAGTTGTTTTGATATTGCAATGGATAAAAGTGGGTGTTGTGTACTGCAAAAGTCTGTGAATCAAGCTCAAGGAGAAGTTAAAGAGCGTCTTGTGGCTGAAATAACAAATAATGCGCTAGTCTTGTCAGAGCATCCTTATGGGTTTGTCCTCAAATCTTTCCTATCTAATTTTCAATATTTTCAATAAATTAATTAGCATGTAATTAAATTTGTTTATTTTAGGAATTATGTTGTGCAATTTGTACTTGATATGAACATTCCCCGTGCTGAAGCCAATGTATTGGAGAGGCTTAGAGGGAATTTTGTCACTCTTTCCATGAACAAATATGGAAGCAATGTGGTAGAGAAATGTTTGAAGGAGTGTAATGAGAAGAATGCCTCCGCAATTATTGAGGAGCTTATGCACAGTCCTGACTTCTTGGATGTGCTTCAGGATCCTTTTGGTAACTATGTTGTCCAGTCAGCATTAATAGTTTCTAAGGTATGACTTTCTTTTACTTCTTTTATTTCTTAAATACTCCATTTATCCACATTTAAAATTATTACACAGCTATTAAGAAAGTAATTAATATGATTTTGAGAATATATTAATAATTTTTTTCCAATTTTATCATATTTATTAGGTATAATTTATGTTCATGTTTACATTTATTTCTCTTTTTTATCATTGTTGTAATTAACTAAAAATTTTCATTATATCAAGGCAGGACAATTTAAACATTTTACTGTATATTTAAAAAAAATCAAAATTTTTTAAACATTTTCTTAATTCTTATGAAAAGATGAAATGCTACTATTACTTAATAAAAATTTAAATGTGTTTTGTTGTTAAAAAAAACTATTAAGGTGGAATGGAGGAAGTAATAAATTAATATTCGTTAATTTGACTAAATTAATTTTTAAGAATCATAGAGATAATTATTGCATTTAATATAAATGAAGGTAAATTTTGAAAAACGTTAATTACTTCTTGATAATCTCAAAATGATTTATATTTGTGAAAAAAACTATCTTAAAGCAATTTATATTTATGGACAGCAGCAATTTATTTAATTATACATATTCTTTATTTTGATTCCTTAAATCAGGGAGATCTCCATCATGCACTTGTCAGTTTGATCAATATCTACTATCCATATCTCCATAGCCATCTCCATGGGAAAAAGGTGCTTGCTCGAACTCGAGGAAATAGGAACCGTATATGAGAGAGTGTAGACTGTAGCTTTTGCTACATGTGTTTGTCCCATATTTTGCTATATTAGTATTTTTTGTTGTTCGTTGTCGTCGAGTGTTAAACTATGTCGTTTTGTACGACTTTGGTATGTTTGTAAGTGTTTCATCTAAGTGTTCATTAGCCGTATCGTACGTGTGGTTTAGAAGTTGTAATAAGGGTTGTGCCACATTGTGTCTTTGTGGTATTCCCATTTTGTTGCTTGTTATATATTAGGGCTATAGATATAGTGTGAGAATTTGGGCAGTATAATTATGTTTACTGTTTAAAATTTAATTGCATGCGTCGAGCTTCGACCATGGAGTTTTTGATAGTGTTTTTTTTTTTTTCTTTTTTGTGCTAATTTATTTTTCTTGTTCAATATGGATATTTTTGCTAATATCACACCAAAAATGTGTTTTATAACCAAATTATTTAAAGTGGCTCCTTAGTTAGGTATTGAGTCACAAACTAGTGTTGATTATCTTAGGAAAACAAAAATAATTAAATTGCTATTTCTGAAATTTTATTCAAAGGAATAATCTTAGGAAAACTAATATGTTTCTTTCGATAAAATCTCCCTCTCTGTGTGTGTATTTTGTTGGAGGACTTCAGAATGTTTAAATTATGTAAATTTAATAACAACTTTACATAATTTCTTTACCATTGATTTATTTCACGTCTAAAGATTAAAATTAAATTAATATTTTTTGAGTAGTTTGCATATTCTCTTTCTTATTTTAATGTATTTTTTATTCATATCATATGATGATTAAAAAAATTAATCAAATATATTTTTATCTTGTTTTCTTGTTTTATACACCAAAAAATAGCATCCATGACATGTTATAAAGATCTAATACTTATTTCTAATTTAATTTAAAAATCATTAATCATAAATAAAACTACTACAATATCTCTCTTCTATTATAGTGCAGGGGGAATGGGAATTACAATGCCTTTTAACTCAATGAGGTGATATATAACATGTCGGCAAACCATTGCGTTCATGCATGCATGCATTCAAACAATAATCATGTCAGGCTTATCATGCTCAAATGCTTATGTGTCATTCACACGCCATCCATCATAACATCAATAGCACAACACAATGGAGAAAGTCCATGAATCATGCCCCCAAGTCACTAAGGAGAAACCTCAACCATAAGGTTCGACTATTTAATAAATCACTTGATGAAAATAGATTATTTTTCCAGTCATTGCAGGTAAGTTTCGATCTGCACGAAAGGCATAATAATTTGGGTACTGTCCGTAAATAGACATGTCTGTATTAGGCCCTGTAAGCACATACATAAAACAAGTTGACCACGACTGCACATTAATCTCATAATTCATAATCCTATAAGCAAATCCATATCATCCCAACTTCCATCAACAATCATATTACATTCATCCAAATATATAGCCTATGCATCTTTGTAGCCAATTCCCTTCACAAAAAAAGTTCTTCACGTGACCAACAATATCATTTACGCCACCAGTGCTTATCCCATCTTTCCCTTTCATATGAGCTATCAGAATCAATCTCAAGTTGCCTGATTTCTTTCACCAAAGAAATCGCTCTAGACTCGCCCTGCAGCTTCAACTCAGCACACCTGCATTATTTGTGAGAATCACTTCAACATCAACACAAATCTCCATGACTGTTTAGAGAACACAGCAGGAAAGTAACAGTAACACCTCTATACATATTTGATAGCTTATAGCTCAATAATCATTAGATAATGTTTCACTCCATACAGCTCGCATATTTACAGGTACATTAGCAATTTTAACTAAATGCTGCAAATATCAAAATATCATATAAATTTTTTGATGATTCAGAACCAGAAATCATGACAACTTACTTTAGGTTAAAAGGAACTGTTAAGCCACCAGATTTAAAAAATGTGTGAAAAGTATATAATTACAGCAAGTTCTCCATATCATTGTTACAATAGTGCATTATATGAAACAGGACTCATGAGAAACAAATTACTCATTCGATACAAGACACAGCATGATAAATATTTGTCTTATAGACTATTAGCTTGAATTTTTCACCTAAAGGATGAAAGATTTATTCTAGGATCAAAGAAATAATACAAGTTTTCCAGTTGCTTTCTCTTTCCTCCCTAAATAAATCTTCCATATATGGTGTTAAAAGCTCCACGATCAATTTATAGCTCCTAGATTAAAATGCCACTCGATCAATTGAAGGCTGCTTTTAGTTTAAACTGCCATATATTTCTTTAATATATTCAAAGCAGCAAGCAGATAGTTTAAGATCGACTTAAAACTTTTGTGCACATCATAACAAGGCTAGCTATCAAATATCAGTTTCAAGTAATAATTTCAAAACTATAGAGAAAATAATGAGAAAAATAAATTAGTAGTATTCCTAGCTCATCTTTTTCCATAAAAAGAAAGAAGAAAACTAAATTTCCAAATTCATTGCTATCCTATAAGTAGGCATACATGTTTATATCGCATCGTGGTTAAGAGGATTGGACCCTCTTCATAATATATTGAAGTACATCATGCACAAAATAAAGTACGAGCTATTATTTATATCATGAAGTAACCATAAATTTTGCATTTTACCTTGACGAGATATTGAACACCTTCACATTAGTTCCTACCAGAACATCCTTGAGAGAGATAAAGCTTGGAGTATGAACAATTACTTCATATTTTGATTTGATCCCTGTACCTTAAAATACTTAAATCCCGATCATTTTGGATTGTAATAAATGAGAGCACTCTTGGGATAATGAAACATCAACAATGCTCCATTATTCAGGTACTTCAAAGGTTGATATAAGCCATAAGGCCATCTGTCATCACCATCATTATCGATGGAATGAACTGTAGTCCAAGAACTTTGGATGCCATAATCCTTCATAACCCACACATGAATTGAAATAAATTCAGAACAATCACATATGCAAAGACAAACTCCTAATACTCCCATGTTCACATTATCTCTCTTACCCTCACTAATTAAGGGACGTCGATTAAAGTCTGGCGAAGGTGGTGGAACTGATTGAAAGCACTCATTTTCAATGTTAAATGAAACTCAAAATCTGAGTTGCTACCATCAAGACAAAACCAATGAAAAGCCCCATTCAAATAAGTAGGAAATGCTAGTTTATATATTGAGTTGGGAGCAAAGCCAACATCTCTCCATGATTCTGTACCAAGAGTGTGTACTTCAGCCAACCTATCATGATAGTTCTCAACTCTCAAAGTACTGGAACTAGGATTCCACGCCTGTTTGAAGACTCTTATCACCTTAAATTGGTTAGTCACTGGACTAAAGCCCAAACCACAATCAATAAAATCCTTGATGCCATCATCATCTTCAACCATCTTAGCTGCTGGAAGGTTGATGAACTCACCCGTAACAGGATTGCATATAGCAACAGGGTTATTATCAGATGTTAGAGACAAACAAAGCAAGCCATTGCAAGAATTTACAATCTTATACTTGTGATCCTTTGTCTTCAACCTGAGGCAACGGTTCCTCTTAGCACCATTATCATCAATTTGATCATTGAGCACCAATTGAAGGTTACGCAATGGGAGCTTTAATTTGGTATCAAGTTTGATGTCAGATTTGCAGTCACATCCAGGTTTCCAGTTGATGTAACGGTGCTGACGGGAAATCTTGAGCACAAAATCTTGGTCTTGTTCTAGTTGAACAAGATAAAGGATTCTTGACAGGCTTGTAGAATCTAAGGTTCGAATAATCGGATACACTTCTATTGGGAGAAGTGGAGTTTAGCAAACTCAGGATCTGAGATGATACCTTTCCAAGCTTGGCATACACATTTGCAAGTGGCTATTCTCTTAACAGAGAGTCTAAGAAGAATCTTAACAAGAATGTGCCAAGGAAGATGTGCAAATGAAGGGCCTGACTGTTGGATCTCTGTATGGCTAATTTCCTCTGCTTCATATTTGCCTTTCTGGCTACTTGCTTTTGAAATCTTTCTCCTTTTCATGACTAGTCTGTAGATACAAGCAATTGAATCAAGGTAAGCGGGGAAAAGAAGAAGAAGCACTAGACAGTAGAATACTATAACTTCAGTCTTTCTTGGTCTTCAAAAAAAGTTCCACCTTTATAAATTCTATTCTTATTTGCAATCAAATTATGTGTAACCAACAATTTATTCGTTATACCTAATAGCACTCAAATATTTTATAACTTCTCTTACAATACATGCATGATAGTATTTATTTTTAAATATTTCTCAAATTAAACACATCTAGAAACTTTAGATCATACTTGTATATAACTAATGCTTTTTTAAGATATAGAAAATTTTAAAGTTAATATGATTCATAAATAATTCATTACCGTACGTATATGCTATTGAACAATGAATACTTCCTTGAAAAGTTAACTGATTTTTTTTTACTCCAAGTATCAGTCTTTTATTCATCAACAAATGTGCCTAACATTTACTTTACATAATTCGAGTGTTTAACAGAATAAATCTTTTGACATTTATATTTCCTTCTTGCTAAAATGAATTTAAATAGTATGATTATTATTTTGTATGCCATAATCATCTTTGTCACGAAGTTACATCTACACTTTCAGCTCAACAACCTTATAAAAATAGAATGTCCATTGTACTTACAAACTTCAACCTATGTTCTTAGATAAAACTACCATATAAAGAGTTTCTTTACTTTTACTTGTGCATTTCATTTTTTATTTACAATATGCTTAAAGAATGATAATTTTTCTCCATTTACATATAATATTGCATGGGATAAAAGTGGTTAAGGTACTTTGGCCCTCCCCTATAAGCCAACTTCCTAGATCTGCCATTAGTCTAAGGGACTCATTACGTATCACAGATAGATCAGAACAAATTAAAATACAAAACACAGAACTATATTCAGATTACAAGACATTTGATCTGTAGAAAAGTGTCCAATTTTAGGATTAACGTCAATGAATTAGAGAAAAGCAAATTAAAAACCCTAGAATACTATATACATGATCTTAAAATTAAAGTCTAAAATCCAAGCAAATTAAAATGAAACATCCACAATTCTATGAAACTACAAGGTATTGAAATGATAGGTAACGGAGTAAAAACCCTAAGTTACAGTAATCATAAAAGCCTTAAAAAGTAAAATATGAACGGCCTTAAATAAGTGATTCGTCAAAAATAAAATAAACGAAGAAGAAAAAGAATAAAACTTTCTTTAATTTAGCAGCAACGGAGAGAATTACCTGAAAATAAATGGATAAGTTGACAGACAGAGAAAGTGAAGGACGTTCTGGTTTTGGTAGTTGTTGTAAGAAACATGCAGGCGGAGTTGTTATAGACATCCTCTGCAAAAAACAAAAAAAATCATAAATTTTCTGGTCTTATCTAAAATCCAAGTTACAAATTTCATTCCAAGCACGTTTAATACGTATATAAAATTTAAGTGCAGTGAGAGTTTAATCCTCGTAAATGTAAATAAATATTCAGTTGAAAGCACTTTATTTCATAAGTCTGATTCGATGCGATAAAATCAAAAAAATTTAATTCTTTTCGTCAGCAACAGAGAGAGTGGAAATTGATCAAACAGTTGCATTCTCAATCTGATCATCTTCTTTTGGGGTAGCCTTATAGTAGCAAGCATATATAATTAGATGTATTATTCCCAATAATACCCCAAGACCACTTGAAATCTACAAAGCAATGCAAATATACCAATAGTGTTATTACTCATTCATGTGCTTTTTTTTTTTTTTTTTTCCAATGAAAAAAGCCTTAAAAGTAAAATAATGAACGGCCTTAAATAAGTTATGATTCGTCAAAAATTAAAAATAAACGAAGAAAAAAAGAATAAAACTTCTTAATTTCAGCAGCAACGGAAGAGAATTACCTGAAATAAAAAAAGGCATAATGAGAATAAGTTGACAGACAGAGAAAGTGAAGGACGTTCTTTTGTTAGTTTGTAAGAAACATGCACGAGCGGAAAGTTGTAAGATAGAGACATTCCTCTGAACAAAAATCAAAAAAAAATCATAAATTTTCCTGGTCTTATCTAAAATCCAGTTACAAATTTCATTCCAAGAGCACGTTTAATACGTAATACTAAAATTTAAGTGCAGTGAGAGTTTAAATCCTCGTAAATGTAAATAAATATTCAGTTGAAAGGCACCTTATTTCATAAAGTCCTTGATTCGATGCGATAAAATTCAAAAAATTTAATTCTTTTCGTCAGCAACAGAGAGAGTGGGAAATTGATCAAACAGTGCATTCTCAATGCTCATCATCTTCTTTGGGGTAGCCCTGATGTAGCAAAGCATATATAATTAGATGTATTTTCCGCAATAATACCCCAAGACGACTTGAAATCTACAAAAGCAATGCAAATATACGCAATAGTGTTATTACTGCATTCATGTGCTTTCTTTTTTTTTTTTTTTTTTTTTTTTTTTTTTTTTTCCAATGAGGGTATAAATTAAGTATTTGTTAATTATAATTGAATAAAGAAAAAAATGCTATTCATAAAATAATAAAGAAACTAAGAAATATACCAAAATATAGAGATCGAGTTTATCTATAACAGCATATGGAGCCCGAACGACTGCATTAAGAAAGCTTACCAACGAGAAACAAAACGGCATGTAGTTGACGCTCTTTGTTACAATAAACTTCCTCTGTAATTTAAAACCAAGGTATATATATAAATTGGTAATTATTGTAAAGTAGAAACTACTAAAAATATGGGAAATAAAATTAAAAAAAATCTTGAGTTTAAATTTAAACTCTTTCTTTTTTTGGAAAATCTAAAAATTAAATAGATCTATTAAAAAATCTTGAACATTAAAACCTTTTGTTTTTTTTAAATATAACTTTAATATCTCTTCCAATATCATTGAAGCTCTAAAATTTATCTCAAATCCATATTATTTAACTTTGGTTTATCAATTAATTTTTTAGACAGAAACATTTTTTAATCAATAGTTTGTGTAATAAATATATACCTGAGTAAAGGCATATAAGCAGAGAAAATAACATACCATGATGGTAAATGGTGAAGCATACACAAAATATGACAGCAATTATCCCAACAGTTGTTGATCTTTTTTCATGTCTATCAAAAAGTTTCAATGTGATTGTCGCCAAAATGCCCACAAAAACAATCTCTATAAAAACAAATCAAAGTACCTTAACCTGAAATTGCCAACATCGCACATAAAATAATAATAATAATAATAATAATAAAAATAATAATAATACTTAGGTAATTAAAAATGAATTCCGAGAAATAATTTATCGAAAATATATAAAATTTGAATGAAAAAAAAATCCAATTTTGAGAAGCTTGGGAGTAGGAATGGAAACAGGGCGGGTACCCATGAATTTTGAAAAATTCGTATCTGTATTTGTTTAAAATTTTATTATCCGTATTCATTCCAAATTCATTTAAACATTCATTTAAGTATTCGTATTCAAACTCATTTAAAATTTTGCTACCCATTACCCGTCTCCGTTCCAAACTCGTTAAAGTACCCCTTGATAGGTAGGATATCTGCAAAACTATCCACTCCGAACTTATTTAAATTGCATTTTTACTAATAAATGGGTAGGATTCTTAAGGCAAAACTATTTATTATAGTGAATAACGGATAACAGGTACGAAATTCTTATACTCATACCTTATTTTCATTAAATGGATTTACCAAACCAGTTACCTTAAAATATACGTCTTACTTCTATTCCTACTTGGAATGGTTGAAGTTGAGCATATATACATGCATTTACATAATATTCTTACTTTGGCTTTCCTTTCATCCTTTGTGCATATAAGAGGAAAATGCCAATATAAATGGCTGCCAATGCAAGTCCAACACCATCGATTATAATCACAAGAGTGCAGCCTGGTTTGACCATTGGCGTAGCATAGAAAGTCCATAGCATGCAATTCATTAGGGTTGCTAGATATGGATCTGGCTTGAACTCCCCAACTGTTTTACTTTTCCAAATTTTCACATATGTTGGTCTGCAATTAATTATCAATTTAATTTCAATTCTTTTTTAAATTCTGATCGGATATGAGCAATTTTTTTTTTTTTTTTCATCCTCTTAATTTATTGGTCGACAATATAAAGCGATAATTTTTTTAAATTATTCTATAACTATATGATAGAAGATATATTATATTTGACGTTGGAGAGGTATATAAGAAAAAAGAGATAACGTGAATTTTAAGATGAACAAATGAACTATGTAGAATTTGCAACTATGCAAGTCCACCGACACGATATGGATGAAGATTTCTTTAATTGTTTCTTTTGCTACTTAGAGTCTATCCACTCTATACTTCCTAATTGCCTTAGCTTAATGTAATATTTTATACCCTTTAATTTTTGATATATCATATAATATTTAAATTTACAATTGAACTCCAAGATTCAATGGTACCATAACATTAAAGAATGTTTCTCTTTTAATATCATATTCAACATAATTGGTAAATGTAGCTAAATTGATTTTTTATTCTTAATGGACATATATTAAATTATAATTATTGATCTTTTTTTTTTATATCAATTTGGTTCTTTGATCACTATCCTTGGCCCAAAAATATTCTGAAGATTTCAACACAAGCAAAGAAATCATTCCTCATTTTCTCACCATATTCTCATAAATCTCATAAATGGTTTGGAATATTCAATTCTCATTGTTCTTTGTCGAGATCACTCGACCGTATTTGATGATTAAAGAAAAGCATTACCATGTTCTATGGACCACAATATTCTTTTGATCCATTAATTTTTCAACAAATAAAAAAAATAAATGTTTAGGTATAAGCCACTAAAAAACGAGAAGTTCTATCTATTTATATATAATATGAAGAATAAACATTCGTTTTATTGGGATGTACAATTAGGTCTAAGACTCCGTTTGCTTATGATAAAATGAATTATCTTTAAAAATATTTTTCCAAAAGGCTTATTTTGCGTTCTTTGATTACAAGATTGAAAATTTGTTAACCAAAATTAAAATTTTTAACTCATAGGACCAAAAAAATATTTATAATAATAAAAATTTCATAATTTAAAATTTTTGTTATTAAAAATGAGAAAAAATATATAAAAAAAGGTAAATTATGAAAGTTATCAATGGCTGGTGGTGGCTTTTGATAGTTTACAGTGAACGATGATTAATGATAGTGGCTAACAGTAATTAATAAGTTAAAAATATATGCACTCATAAGGTTACTAATATTAATAATATTAATTGCAGGTCTCGTTATACTTACCAAATCAGGGGTTGTACTTAACAATAAGTTATCACATGAATTAAAATAACATTATGAGCTAAATCAAGAGTTGCCCTCCCCTTTAAATAACATTTACTAAATTAGTAATAATTTTTGTGATAGAAATGATTTCAACTCGAGACCTCCCTCCCTACATTTTCTACAAAAAAATAGAAAGAGTAATCAAACCGCATTTGATAGGCAATTAGGTGCTTTTATTTAATACTTTACTAAAAATATTATAATATATATGTACCAGCAGCACTTTGCCATACCCAGAAGCAAAGTATGAAAACTGCAGACATTTAGACGAGGTTTAGCAGTTCACTTAACAGTTGCAGCCAATTCAGCATTGTAAAAACGACTACTCCATCACCATAAGAGTATCAATCCAAAAATAGGAACGAAGATGATTTCTAAAGCTTCATTGCCCATTACGAAAAAAATCCAACTCATCTAAAACCTGATAGTTGCTTTAATAGTACAATAGCAAATTAGGAATTAATAGCACCTACAAACCATCAACTGATGATAAGATTGATCCCACAATAATAACAGAAGACAAAAATCATATAACATTGCCACCCCAATATAGCAGATGAAACTTCAATACTTTCCAACATCAATGCAACAATCATACCTATTGAATGAAATTATACATATGTAGATAACAACATAGGCTTCGGGAATAAAAGTTTAGTCTGAATCCGATGAGTCGTGGCTTTCACTTTGCCTCACACTCCTCCTAGTTTGTGTGCTAGATTTTGATGTATTTATAGATGATTCACCCTCAAAATAAATGACTTGAGCTTTAGCCAACCTCTCCTCTAATTCCTCCGTGCTAAACTCATCTGTCCCACCGAGCGCATCAAACCCCACCTAAATACATTACACAGTGCATAGCAGCATTCAAACAGTGCAAGAAAAGAGTAAATTCAGACAAAAACAAATCCTTTCAATAAAACATACCACGTAATCATCCACTTTGGCATTCTTTATAAGAGCAAGGGTTGGAAGAACCACAATCTTGAGTCTCTCAGCCAAAAATGGACTTTTCTCAGCATGAATTTTCACAAAACGTGTCTCTATATGTTGCTTTGCCAATATACTCAAGTGCTTGTCCATCACCTGCAAATGAACTGTAAAAATCTTTTTCAAGTAGATATATTTCATTACATTTTCACAAACATGCTTCTTACTGTCGCCAAGGGGAACACTACAATATCTAGAAGTTAGAACTTGAGATTTTTCCATGTTCAATTCTCAATAAGGTTAGGATGGAAGGAGTTTGTAGGATAGGTAGACTTACCTCCCATTTCCGCATGTAACACGAGCAATGGATCAAAACGAAAAAATCCAATGCCTGGAGGAGAAGCAGGAGCAGGAGCACAACAAATGGTGTGTGTCCAAATACGGCTGCCGTCTCCAAGATTTTTTCTTTCAGAACAAAGGACACAACTATTTCCATAGCTAAAGTTGCTTTGCTCACAGTCTCATTGTGAAACATCCGAACTAGAGACGAACAGGCAAAATAGAAGAAGGGAAGGGGTACCCTGACAACTTTCCACTCCAATCTTTACATCTTTAAACTAAAGTCTATCTAGTCAAAGAATTAGTGCTCCACTTGTAGCTTTACGTCTCTCTGATTTCCCTCTTCTCTTTCTTGCCTTCCTTGAAACCACATCATTTTATAATAAATTGAATTCTCTTATCGGGTATTGCAGTTGTAAGGATAAGACTGAAATGGGATGAAGGGATGAAGATTTTGCGAAAAAGGAAGAAAAAGTGTGTAAGTCTTGAGATAAGGGCTGTTGGGATGAAAATAGAATCCATAAAGGTGTCACTAGAAATAGTACCATTTTTGGAATGCAAGTATGTCCTAGTTACACCATCGACTTAATAACAGCATTTCCCAACAATTATATTTTTAACTTCCTCTTTATTCCAAATAGATATTAGCAAAAAATACACAATTTCTCAATTCTCAACTCATTGTTTTTTTTCTTTGATTATCAGTATGAATAAAAGTTTCTACTCAATATAATTGCATTAACTAAGGTATAAGCAAACCAAAATCAATCAATTTATGTACCCTTTGTATAATTGGCTCATAGCCAGTGTAAAGCCCACAAAGAATTACCTTTCAAGGATTTAATGCATCCTTGGTAAAATGTAATTAAATACAATACAACAAAACCACAAATATAAAATCAATTAAAATTTAATAAACAAAATATCTACTAAAAAATCCGTTCCATTCATATGCTTTTATGATCTACCAAACATGCTTTTAGTGTATGTCTCTGCAATGAAGTTGAGCAAAACTGCAATTTAAAAATCAATATGAAATTCATGCCGTATTCCCATTGTAGTCCATTAAGCTTCATTACCATCAACCAGCAATCTATGTTTGGGCAACAAATTTTTAATATTTGAATAAACTTAATTACAGAAAAACGCAATTCCCCAGTAATTTTCTTAGAATTCTATTAAGTTCAAAATAATTATTTAACAAAAAAAAAATCTGAAAAAAATTTAACTACTGTTTTTCAGAAGAAATGGAAATTAGTGATTTACCTTGCAGGGCCAATTCTCGCGATAGAAATGGCAAACGACACGGTCACTGGCTTTGACAATGGAGAAGAAGTCCTTCTCAGAATGGATCTCGGAGTATTCGCCATGGCCTAGGGAGATCCAACGGCTACGCTTCTCCGCCATTTTCTTCATCTGCATAAGCCGCCTCTCTCTCAATGCTTCTATATCGTCAACATCAAGGCGCTCTAGTGCGGCGATCTCTTCATCTAGCTTGTCCTCCACAGCCTTTGCTACTGTAAGTACTTGCTTCTCTATAATCTGCCATAACAAAAATTGAATTCGACAATCTACGGGATAAATTTTATATGCAAATGAATTGATGAGAGTTTAGAGAGAGAGAGAGAGAGAGAGAGAGAGAGAGAGAGAGAGAGACGTATAAGGTGTACTTAATTACCTCTTGAACCTTTGAATTTTCCATTGTTGGAGTAGAGATCTTACTCTTCCTCTCCTTAGCCAATTGTTATGGAAATGAGAACGTACAGACTATGAACTTCTGAGAAAGATTTGATTTGAGGAGGAGAGGAGGGAGATGAGAGAAACGACGCCGGTTTGATTTTGTTTTGTTTTTTGTTGTAGGGTTGTGTTTTGTCTTTTTCCTTTCAAACCAAACCGGTAGTCCAGCACCCAATACTGGTTGATTGTAGCCTTTTGGGTTTGGGCAACAGTAAATTAAAAACGATTTTTGGTAATTATGAATTTATGATTGACATTATCATTTTGGATTTTCATTTTTTTTTATTCATAGAAAGTTAATTTTTATTTTAATTATCAATTAAAAATGTGTTATGTTTTTGTTAGAATTGTTGCTAATTGCTAATACTAGCTTTTAGGCTAAAAAGTTAAGAAATCATTTTGGGATTATATCGTCTAATTTTTTATTTTTATGAATCTAAAATTGATTTTAAAAATAATTTTACATCGCCCGATGCAAAAGTAAAAGGAAATAAAATAAAAATACAAAAATAACACAGAAAAATGAATCAAATGAAATGGCGCGGTGAATTTTTTTTTTTTTTTAAAATATTCTGACAAACCAATCCAATCAAATGGATCAAAAAATAAAATTAATGAATTTAAAAATCATACCCATTAAACAATAGAGTTGCAGTAGTTAATCAGATGTAGTCTAATTAGTCTTTTAAGCTATAGAATTAGCGGGAGATTTCAAGTTAGAGTTCTCCCAACCAATAATTCAAATAGCTAATAATAATCTTTTGAAAAGAATATTTCAAATTTCAATGCAAAAATATAATAAAGTTTATTTTTTTTATTAACATGTTATGCAGAAAATACAATAATTCACAATATCATTTTACATGGATCATAATGAATTCCAACATACAAAAACAATAAACCACCTCACTATTTAGTCAAATTGCTAAAGGTGAATGGGATTCTTATTACCTTTGTATGGTGGTCTTGAGTTTTAATTAGATTATTTTATCTCTAAATAGAATATTTTAATTTTTTATATTTATATTTCAAATTTATATAGATTTATTATGATGTACTCAATTTATATTCATTATTAATAAATTGTTAAGTTTTAAAAAAATCTTTTCTTTTTTTAAAAAAGGTTAGCAAACAAAAAATAAAAAGCGAGGAGGCACCAATCAACGGGTATTGTCAAGGTAATTATACACAATGAAAGAAGCCAAAATCTTTTCATAGAGGTGAAAATATATTTATCATTTCATATTATAAATAAATAAAAATTTTGATTTAAAAGAGCGTCTAGAGATAGTGTAATTAAATAAATAAATATATTACATGTGATGAAAATTTTTTTAATGAAAATAATATAAACAACAACAAAATAATAGAAATTTTATTAGTATATATAATGACTTTCAATACAAAATAAATAATTTTCTAAAAACTTACATATTAGAAATTACAATGAAAAATAACTATTAGTATTTAAAATTTTAAATATATTATTGTAATTTTAAAATTCAGTCAATTGAATTTCTTGTTATTCTCTAAAAGCTATTAAAGTAGAATCATAAATTACAATATTAAATCCATCTTTTTGAATAGATTAATTATCATATGTGTTTATTCAATGAATTTAGAATTCTAAAGTTTTTTTAGGCTGTTAAGTTTTAACTAAATAACCAATAATAAACAATTAAAATATGAATTTACAATACTATTATATATATTATAATATTCACATGAATTTTATATATTCATAAAATGAATCAAATTCAAAACTAAAATTTCAAAAAGAATATACAAGCCATTCAATAGCAATAAAAAAATAATTTATGAAAATCTTGTACATCATGAATACCAAGCACCTTAGAAAATTTTACGAAGGACCGGAGGGGCGGTGGCTCCCAACACCTGACTCCGTCGCTGATCATACAGAAATCCAAATCCACTTATCTCCCCATAACACAAACACATGATCAATTGATCAATAACGAATCTAGTAACTCATTATTATGATGTACTCCAAAATAAACACACATACACACATACAATAGAAGTATTTATTTCCCTTAATTATAAAGCTTAAAAAAATTAAAACACGATGAATGATTTTAAGGGCACTTGGGTTTTCCCTTTGAGTTCTTCCTGTCTCTGTAGCAAGGGCACTCATGCTTGTTCCCATAAGTACCTGAAGGCACACACTTGCACTCTGTACAGCATATATTACAGTATTTTATGCATCTATCCTTCACTGATGCTTTAGCACATCTTGCCTTGCATTTATTGGCACAGAAAACTACACATTCATCAAAAATAAAAAAAAAATAAAAAATTAGGCTATTAATAATATTTTCAAATCAATTTATTATGTCAATCATAACTAAATAGGAAAAAAAAGATAAATTTTTTCTTAAATTATAGTCAAATTGATACATAAAGACCTCGATTTTCAAAAACTAACTATGAGATTTTTAATTTATGATTTCATTAATATATTTGGGTCTTTCGTCCAAAATAGCCTATTATAACTATCAATTGATTGAAAAATTAATCCCTAAATTATGATCATATTAACTATGAGATTCTTAATTTATGATTTCTATTAATATTTTGATTATTTTTCTATGATTACGGTTAATACTTTGGTACATCTATTGTGAACGGAAGGATCGAAATGTTAAAAACATATAAGTTATGAACTTCATATTTAGTTTTTGAAAATAGAGATTATCATATGTTAATTTGACTATAACTCAAAAGATCAATTTATTATTTTCCAACCAAATATTCTTTGTAGACAAGTCAAATCATTAGTGAATTGAAAAATTATTTTTTTATAGTATTAACTTATAAAAAATAATTTTTCAATTCAATTTAATGTTCAACATACATATTAAAAATCAAAAAAAAAATCAACATATTAAAAAAAATTCATCTCTCATTTTGTACTTTAGATCCGCCTCAAATCAAATTGATCCATTTCGCGGGTATATATACAACATCATGATTACAAAAATCATATAGAAAAACAACACAGCATACTTTAAAATTCGATCTCTCGATATTTCCTGTACTTTTAGATCCCGCCTCAGAATCAAATTAAGTCCATTTCGCGTGGTTAAGATATATATATATATATATATATATAAATATATATAGTATAGTATATATAGTTCATATATATACTATATATATTATATATTATAATATATATATATATATATATCAATAAATAGAAAGTAAACCTATTTTTCTATGTGGTGAGATAAATTTAAAATATATATATATTCAATAAAATAGAAAGTAAACCTATTTTTCTATGTGGATAATTTAAAATTTTTAGTATAAAATCATAAAATTTTCCTTGCAGTTTACCCCTTAATATTTTTATATAATTAATTTTGAAAATTATTATAATATATGTTATTTGGAAATACAATCTTACTCTTTTCAACAGTGCATAAAAAAAGCGAAAATAAACTCTATATGTAAAGAAGCTTAGTAATTATCATTTAAAAAAAAAAAAAAACCAAAATGTGTATATATTGTAGATAACACAAGAACCTTTTGAAAAATTCACATGATTAGCTTAGATTTATTTCTTAACCAAAAGATTAATTATCACTTATCAATAAGATAAGCCTATAAAGTAATATTACGAACAATCAATTAAATCCAGTAATCTATACATTATGAACTAATAAACAAATCAAACAAGCAAAACCCAAGATAGGAACTTCAACTTGATCAATAAAAAGAAAGAAAGAAAGAATTAGCTGCTCTTACGGGGCTTAGCCATAACAGGTTCCAACAAGGAAGAGCTCAAAAGAAGTGAGCAAAGAAGCAAAGTAGCAAACAAGAGCCTCATCTTAACTGCAAAAGTATTAGTGATATATGAACTCAATAAGGAATGGTGTTTGATAGGTATGTAGTGAAGTAGTGAAGAGAGGAGAGAAAGCTCAAGTGGAAATATATACTAAGGAAGCAGTGAGTGAATAGTGAAGAAGGTGCAATTGTCGCTGTATATGGAGGTAGCAATAACCAAGACAAAGATAGTAGTGGTAACAAAATCAATTAATGAGCAATAAATAGGGAACAGCTGGAGCTTAATTATGAGAGTGCGGTGAGGTCTGGCCCTCCGTCCACGCGGTTTCTGCAGAGTATGAGTTGTGAGGATCGAGTACCTTCCTTACCTTTTCTTTGTCCTTTTCTGCCTGCATCTTATAATGGCGGAGCCTTATCAGTTAAATTTTTTTATGCTCTGATTCGTTTCAGTAGTTTTTATGCTTACCTGCGAAAGGAATTCATCTTCTCAGTCTGCTTTTGGTTATTTGGATTGAGAAGACTTTTTGGTTATTGGCTTGAATTTATATGATAAAATGTACACGTTCATGGATTTATTAGATTCTTCGTTCGATTGAGGAAAAATATACTACAAATCCGTCATGGTTTTAGAAAAGAGAAAAACCTGTCAGCTTAGAAGTTCAAAATGGTATATTTTTCCGGAAGTACACTTTCAAATAAATTATTTCTGGGTAAGTATAATATGAACGTGTTTGATATGTAAATAACTACAAATTACAATAATATTTATAATATAAATTTAAAAAATATATAGATAATAGTATAAATTGATAAATTTATTACATTTAATTAGAGAAGTGCAACTTCCCTAGCTATCTTTAAGGAACTTACTTCTCTCGTAGGAATAAATATTAATGAATGAATGAATAAATAATGTTCAACATATCTTTTTTTTATCATATTGATTGTATTTAATTTTAAACTTTAAAGACATAATTTACTTGGACTTTGTTTGTACAAAAAATTGGTTAAAAAGCAATTTTAATACAATTGAGTTGCAAGAAATCTTGGATGATGTTCAGAAATTTGAAGAAATTGTATAATATGATTAGATATGGTTCATTAATTTATTTTAATTGTAATTTTATATATGACTAGTATTTTTATGACGTGTGTTGCATGTTGATTATACTCGTTATTCGTACTCATTTAATTTTTTTTATGTTATTGCTCACTTTTACTTGTAATTTATACTCATTTTTATTTTTTAATACTATTAAATGTCTTATATTATTTAGATTTTTATAATACGTGTGTTTGCATGTTGATTATTACTCGTTATTTCGCTACTTCATTTAATTTTTTTTCATGGGTTTATACTGCTCATCTCTTTACTTGTAATTTTATTACCTCATTTTTTAATTTTTTTAATACTATTTATAAATGTCTTATACTTATTTAGATTTTTTATAATTATTTAAAATAAAATTTCTGTGTTATTAATTTTCAAAAATAATTTTAAAATTTCAAAATTGAGCATTAATGTGTAACTATAAAGGAATGAATTATGATTATAAACAATATTTACTTTTTTTTTTATTTCTTTGTTATTTCTCTCTCCTAAAATAAAATCTTTATAAAATTTCTTTATCTTATATTATAATTTTTTATATGTTAAAATAAAAATTTAATATCGAGATTTAATATGAATACAAAGAATATCATAAAAATATACTTTTTTTTTTTTTGTCCCTCTCTTGAATTAAAATATCCATATACATATATAAAATCCTCAAGCGGATTTTTTTTTTTTTTTTGTCCCTCTCTTGAATAAAATATCTATACATATATAAAATCCTCAAGCAAAAAATAATCTTCATAAAGTTGATTTGACACTCTCTTCTTCTAGCTTTTTTTATATATATATATATATAAATTTTCTAATTTTTTAATTGCTTTTTAGTATTTCTTTTTTCTTTTACAATTTAATCTAATTTAATATTTAGAATGCAGATAAAAAAAAGTAATTTAAATTCTTATTCAATTTTGAAATCTAATCTTATCTATTTATATCTATACATATAATTCTTAGAGATTTATAACTATTGCCTTCAATTATGGGCAGTCTCAATAACAATGAAGAGGTTAGTTCAAAGCCATATACCAATAAAATTCTTTACAACGGTGCATCTACTTTTGTAAATAGGAAACTGCAGCAAACTCTTTAGTTAAAATTGTTATGTGGTATTTGTTTGTTAATTTTTATTCATGATATTGATGAGACCGAGTAACGTTCGCAGGTCAAAGCAAGACTCCTCCAAATCTATGATGTCGGTTGTTTGCTTTAATTTACGTTCAAAAATTGACAGAGCAATAAAGTGAAGTATTTACCACGTATGTTTAATTATACATTGATTTTAAGAAATTCAGTTATTACTATTTAAATAAGTTTGATATTGAGGATAATGAAATTATAATCATTATTTGTTCTTTTTGCAGTTGATGTACCAAATCTTGTTATGGTAGCGATTATAGATGATGAGGTAAGGGTTTTTCAAATATAAGCTGGAACCACTTGAGCGTCCGCTGCTACGACAAAATGAATTAAGTTGACGGGTAAAGAGAGATCAAAATCATATCCACTAGGTTTTTTTTGTTAAGGCTACTTATTTAAAAATAGTCAAGGAAAGCAATACATAATTAAATTTCGATTTTTTTATAATACTATAAAATTATATTATATATATACATAATTTTTACTTCTTCATTTAATATAATTATTGTTGAAATTAAAACAAAATGTAATAATTATAGGAGATTTAGGATGATACTTATATAATCGGTTGAAGTAAAACATCAGAGATTTAAACATTAAATTCATTTATTATTATTAAAATTGTAAATTTTGTTTTATCTTCTAGTAAATTATAAAATAATATGTATTAAATATAAATTATAAATTATAAAGTACAGTATATAGAAACAAAACAATCCGCACCATGCCTGGCGCCTTCTCCTAGTTTTATATTATATTAAAAATAAAATTAAATATTTAAAAAATAATTTTAGAAAGTTAAATTATAAAATAATCATGTATTAAAATATTAAAATTAATAAATGTATAAAGGTTAACCCCAGCCTATATAGAAACAAAACAATCCGGCACCCATTTTTCTGCCCCTGGGGCGCCCTTCTTGCCTATTTTATGATTATTATTAAAATTAAAAATTTAAATATTTTAAAATAATAAAATTTTAGAAAATAAAATATAAAAATTTTTCAAATGTTCTCATTACTATAATTATTATTCATTACATAATACCATTTAAAAAAAAAGGATTTAAAGCTTTTTTAATTATCTATTATGGTTATTTTAATCTTTAAAAAATAATTTCCAAATAAAATAATATCCCAAGTCAGTTAATAAAATGATAATCTTTTTTTAATTGGTTCATCCACATTGTTAATTTTTAAATATTTCATAATTTTATTCCAAAAGTGCTATTTGAAAAAATCTCACTTATTCATCTATTCTCATATTTATATTATAGCTTATTAACATAATATGTAAAAACTAATAAAATTTAATAAAATATAAAATTTTTTAAATGTCTCATTACTATAATATTTATTCATTACAAATACATTTAAAAAAAGATAAAGCTTTTAATTATCTATATGTATTTATCTAAAAAATAATTTCAATAAATAATATCCAATCAGTTAATAAAATATAATTTTTTTAATTGGTCATCCAATGTTATTTTAAAATATTCAAATTTTATCAAAAGTGCTATTGAAAATCTCATTATTCATGTATTCTCATATTTATATATAGTATAACATAGATGTAAAAACTAATTAAAATTAATTTCTCTCTCTTTTTTGTATTAATAGAATTTAGAGGAATAAGTTTAAGTATCAAGGAGTATCTAACAAAAGATAGCGATAAATATTTTAGAGATTTTTCATACCGTATATGTTTATAGTATTTTTGAACAACATAATATTTTATGCTTATTTTTAATATTATTTTTGTTTTTTATTGAAGTTTTGTTTTTTTTTTTAATTTTTCATCTGCTTTTAATATTCAAATATGATATGTTTAAAATTTAGTTTTTACCTTAGAAGAATTTTGTTTTTCTTTTAAATCGTGGCCAAACCAATCAAATTAAACTGGTTGAGTTAAATACATTTTACAGTTTAACTGATTTAAATTTTTTATAAACTGCCATTTTAAATTTGATTCAACTTGGATAATGCTGCATATCTTAGTTTTGATAAAAGATTTATCATGTTAATGTCTATTCAGCTTTTTTTAGGGAAAAAAAAACTCAAAATATAAAAATTAAGGTCTGTTTGGTATTGTTGGGTTTTTAGTTTTCATTTAATTTTGGTAAAAAAAAATGAAAGATGTTTATTTTAAAATTGTTTAAATTTATCTTTTTATTTTTTTCAAAAAAATTATTTAAAAAACAGAAAATGTATTTTATGAAACCATAAATAATGGTTTATACAATTTTATGTTTTTGAGTTAACACGCTTCCCTCTTCTCTTTCTAATTAAATTTTAGATACGTTTCTCCTCTTCTCCCACCTACATCTTAATAATTCATTTTCTTTTAGACAAAATTTCTTGCATTTAAATAAAAATAATTTTATTATTGTATTCTTTTTTTTTTTTTATAGAGTGTTGGTTTTGAATATAAAATATGTTATCAATGCATGAAAAAACAAAAGCTTATAAAAAAAATAATAAAGTTCTCCTTTTCCTTAAAAAAAACTCATAGAAAAAAAAAACAGTTTTCATAAAATAAAAATAAAAATTTTTTTAAAACAAACAACGGTTGTATAGAAAGGAAAAAAGAAAATAACCTTCTAAAAAAATAAAAAAAGAAAAGAAAAGAAAAAAAGAGCCAGAGAAAAAACTACTCCTTCCCTCCTGTCGTTTTCTCCAGTCTACTGGTCGTCCACTCCTACTGGCTAGTTACTGCCGCAGCGCGCGCTTCCATCCTCGCGCGCTCACTTTCAATGGCGGCAAAACCCTCAGTCGCCAATTGTTGATCACCTTTCTTTTTCAATCGCTGCGGCTAAGCCCCTTCCATACTTTCACACATCGTGCTCGTCTGTAATTTCTCTCGCGTAGCTTGTGAAAAAAGGTCTGGATTTTTGTTATTTTGAGATTCTTATTATTTCTACCGCCACAACTTTTTGAATATGTGCATTGTTGTTTTCTGTTTGGTTTTGCTTGGTTTGTAACAGTTAAATGTGGTGTTGTTGAATTAAGATTAGGACTGTTTAAAAAAAAAAAAAAATTTAAATACAGTCTTTTTGTTCAAACTCATAATTTATGTTACATTTCTTGGTATTTTTTATATCTTGAGATTAAATGTTTTAATAGATTTTGGTTTCTTGCGAGATCAGATGTTTTAATAGATTTTGGTTTCTTGTTACTCCTCTGCTTGATTCTAGTTTTAACATAGAGCAACTTTTTTTTTTTCGAGTACTGTTCACTTGTTAGAGATTCTTGTATCTTTCGTTTTTGGTCTAAAAGGGTTAATTTATATTTTATAACTGTAATCTGTATTTTATATGGTTTTCTATCTGTGAATAATGAACTTATAATCTATCTATGAATTTTGGTTAATGTGTGATTGTCTTATTGCCAATTTTGTACCGTGTTACTGTATGCTATACCATTTCAGGCTTCACTAATGTATTGGTTATTAGTTTTTGAATGTCATTTCTACACTCCAAAAATATGGATTTTTCAGCTGTGATTTTGAATTATGGATAGCATTGGAATTGGATCCTTTTATATTTGGAATAGCCAGTGATTTTGGAATCAATGTTTTGGTTAGAACTATTTGGCATTTCCTTATAGAATTTTCAACTTCACCTGGAGGGTTAGTTATTACGTTATTTTAATTTTTCTTTTCGCATTCTAAGGCTTGCTGAGTGAAAGCCTTGCGAGTGACAACTTCAAGGATATCTCATTCCTAACATTCTACATGTGTTGTTACTTGATGGGCACTTTCAATAGTGAAGAATTTTATACAAAATCACAGTGCAGCTGGAGCAGCGCGTCTAAGATAAGTCTTTCTCGGGGGAAGCCAACTCTAGCCAAAATGCCCACTTCTCTATGCTTTTCGGGCATCTGGAATGTGGTCTTGCTGTTAGAAGTACCTTCCCCCTCTATGTAACAGCAATAATGTTCACCACGCTTTCAAATGAGTCAAGCATTAATCCGTGGAGCTTAATCTGCTAGATGAGCTGTTCTAACCCTTCCTTGAGAAATAAAAGAAATTTGTAATTCTAATAAACAGGAGGAAAACAGCAATCTAAAATAATTTGAATTTTGCACATAAAATATTGATGGTGCTAAAGTGTGCAATTAAAAAAAAAGTTATAACTAACAATAGCTTGGTAATTAATTTTAGTTTGAGAATAAACATAAAGCAACTATAATCATTAAGATATGTTGTAATCAATATTATTATTATATCTAATAAGGCTTAAGTTGTAATTCAAAAGTGATTTTTATGTAAAGTTTAACCTACTGTTTCATGATAACTTCAGTAAGGCTCTAAGAATACAAAAGTTACAAAATGATACACCGCAAAAATCTCAGGTGTTCTCCCAGTGAAGCTTACCCTACTAATAAATGCAGGAATCTAATATTCTATGGGAATAAGAACCTATTCTTAGGAAATTTCTACTCCCAGGAATTTCACATTCTCTTTATACGACAACAACACTTAAGGTTTATGCATTTGTTGTTTTGTTTGGTTTTACTATGATTGATTTAGGATGTAGCAGCATTATATGAGTGCTTATGTATACTGTACACATGCTAACTTCTCTTTAATACATAACTCAAAATTATTTAGATTAGATGGATTGTATTATTCTTTGTCCTTTTGGATATGCTTGATCACATTACTTAATTATCTGTTGCTGATGGCTATTCTGTACCATCGGTATTATTTTTTTCCTTTCTTAAGTTATGCATGGAACTTTAATGGTGAATATAGTTAGGAAGGAGACAGCATGCATGGGTTAATTTGATGCTAAAATGTGCTGCACTTCACTTGTGGCTTACTCAGATATATATTCCCACAAATGGGACTCCAAAGTCAAGTAGAGAAAGCCAAAAGTCTCATTAGGAGCAGGCTCTGTAACCCTAATTTCATCTTCAAGCCTCTCTCAGAATCTCCAGACAGCAATTACAGGTACTGTTTTTGAGAAAATCCTGAATAAAAGAAATGAAAGTTTGCAATTCAAGAGAATCTTCAAGAGTAGATAGTGAAAACTATTCTGTAGTTCTGATCATTCAATATTTCTGTAACGATTTTATTTTATTTTTAATTTTTTCTTTTGCAGCAAGTTGAAGTTTATAATATCGAGTTCAATCACAGAGGCATGCAACAATTCAATTCTGCTTGTTGGTCCATGTGGTTCTGGAAAAAATGCAGTATGGATTTACTTCGATTAGGCTTTATTGTTGGGTCCTTATAATTTTATTCTCGAGTTTATTTTGTTAAATTATTCTTCTTGTTAACATATGAGCATTGTGCATTCAGGTGTTGGAGCTTGTTCTCAATGATTTATTGCAAGAACATCCTGACATGATATCTATGGTATGAATATGTAACAATGCCCATATTTTTCTTCCCGTTCTTCTGGTCCTTCTGCATGTATAACAGTGAAAAAGAATGTTTTGCTAAAACTCGTGGCCAATATTGTTCTTCAATTAGTTTTTGGCAAATGGAGTTGGCCCCTCCCCCCTTCCCTCCCTCATTAGTCTCCATTTGGTTGTTGAGGAAGCCAGGAAAGAAGAATAAATAAGAATTTTTTTCTTGAAGCAATTGGAAAAATAAAAAAGCATTTGATAAGTATATCCCTGTTTTCTACATAAAATCTGATGTCACAGTTTAGGATAACAACAAAACATATCATATTCCAAATAATATCTATATTAAGATGTGATAAGCTGATTTGCACTTTTCTGTGCAAGTAAAATTTTTTGTTTGCTCATTTAGATTTATAATAAATAATGATCTTTTGTTGCAGATCAGATTGAATGGGCTATTGCATAGTGAAGAAAATTGTGCCTTTAAGGTCGTTCATGCTACATAGCTTTTTCCTCCATTTTATCATCCTACTCATCTTGTGAATTTGTAGACATAATGGTATGCAATTGATTTTTATTCTGTTAGTTGTGCTGACATTGATGGTGGGATCAAGAAGGATCTTTCGATATGGTTTGCCTCTTGATTTACTTTTTCTTGAGCTTGATCTTGATCCTGATGGTTCAAGAAAAGTGCCATGAAAATGACTTATTCATGTAAATTAACTTGTTGAGTAGAATTGAGTTGATTAGGCTGGTAGCCCAATGTACTACTTACCATTTTCAAGAAAGATATTGAAAACTTAAAAACTCCAGAGTGTAGATCTAGGCCCTTACCTTTGAAAAATTATGTGGTCTTTATGCAGAAGAAAGCAAAGATAATCATGCAGAAAGAAATGTTGTTTTTGCATCACTCATTGAAAATGGATGGAGGGACAAAGTCTTGATTTTTGACCATCAATGCAATTCATATAATCAGAGTTGTTGAATTGTTTTCTATTTTGATGAATATTTGATATACTTCATTTTATTGAAGTTTCAAATGGAAAAGTTTTCCAACTATTAATAAATTTTTATGCAAATTAACAAAATGAGCTTATTGTGGTAAGTCATGAGCTTCACTTGAGCTAATTACTGGGAACATTTAGACATGGACTTATGGTCATCTGAGGGAGTAGATTATAATGTCCTTATGTAATGCAATATTGACTGACTGAGTAATGATGATCATAAATAATGTCAGGACTTCATGAACATTTTGTTTGAATAATCTATGCTCATTTTTTACATATTTATGATTACTCATTGGCATAATTATATGTCCTTTGCTATTGTAGATAATCTTTATCTGTAGTTTCTATGAAGCTGTTTTATTGGCAACAAAGTTGTATTACTGCTCAGTTTTCCTGGTAATGATCTCCTGTACATTTGTAATGTTTGTCGTTCAAGTAGGAAATTGCCAGACAACTATGCCTGGAGCATCACTTATTGTTCTCAAAAATGGTGAACAAAAACTCTTTTTGACTTCACTATAATTAATTTGTTATGGAAGTCTTTTTCTATCTTAATTTCTGAAATGATTCTTGTAGGCATCATTCGATGATAACTCTCAGTTCATGATAGCCATGCTACGGTTAGTGAATAATCTTTTATCCTCAAACCCATGTAACTTTTGTCGAATTCTGTTAAGATTTGATTCATCTGTTGTTGCTTATTGTCAGGGAGTGTGGATTAGCACATAGAACAATTATTTTTATACTAGATGAGTTTGACCTTTTTGCTCAGGCAAGATTTTCCTTGCCCCTTCCCTTCTCTAATTGATAAATCCTGTTTGTTTGATATCTCAAGTTCCTCTTATGGTTTTGTATTTTTAGATGATGATAAAGTGCTTAAGATCCTTTATTAATGGACCCTTGTGCCATGTACAGAAAAAACAGCTGATTTAGGTTTGAAATCGCAGATTATTACATAACCAGTTTTCATTGTCTTGTTCTTTTCAGGGAAAACAACGTTTACTTTATAGCTTACTTGATGCAATGCATTCAGTAACTTCACAAGCAGTTGTTATTGGTGTGAGTTGCCGACTGGTATGTTCTTTCTGTCATTTGTGGTAGCAACTTACCAGAAACAGAAGTTGTATGTTTATCATTATTTTCCTGTATTTATATATCAGAAGGAGAAACAGACTCACAGTAGTTAATTGTCGTTATGCTGAAAAGTTAAAACTGTATGCACAGGATGTTGATCAGCTTTTGGAAAAAAGAGTAAGATCCCGTTTTTCACATAGGAAGCTATTGTTTCTTCCTCCATCTGAGGAAGATGTTCAAAGGTGAATTTCCTACTTATGAGTTAGGGAGACTATTAGTGCTTTCTTCCAAGAATGAAATCTTATTTTCTGGTTATGTAGATTGTTGGAGCATGTGTTAAATTTGCCAATGGACTCAAGTTTTCCTCATGACTATGCTGCTCAATTCAATGGAAAGCTTCAAGTATCCTCTAACATTTTCTTTTTCAAGTTTATGTTGGATAATAATGTTTTTATTTTTTTTATTTATTATTTTTGTACTTGCATAGTTACATCTTTCATATCCAGATAACAGACTGTTTGTTTGATTTCATTGCATAAATATGGAGCGTTTCAAAAACATCTTCTAGGAGGCTATGTGCTGTTATTTTATGACATGTTGGTGGCTACTTCTGTCTATTTAACAAGTCCTTGACTTCAGCAGAATATTTTAGCAGACGAGAGATTTAGAGGAATCATTACTAGTTATTTAAACTCCCATCCTACCGTCAACCATTTATTGAGGTTTCTGTAAGTCTTTCTTCTATCTGGAAGCATCAAATATTATGTAGTTTACAGCTATAAGATTATCATACTTTCATTCTCTTCCAATCTTTTTGTTATGCTAGATTTACTGTCATATCTTTTTGGGAATCAAAGTCTGGCTTCCTCTCACTTGAGAACTTTAAAACTGCACTTTCAAGCATCCAAAGGCAGCCAAAGCAGGAATGCATAAAAGGTCTGACCATCTGATCATCTGAGTTCTTGCATGTGGTTCTTGTTACTTAAAGCATACCTTTACCTCGATAAATATTGAATGTTCCTAAGTTGTATCAATTATCTGAGTTTATTAGAGCTATTTCTGAATTATTTTATCTGAAGCACCATTGCATTTTGCATAATTACATATCCCTGCCTGACATGTGATAAGTAATCCATTCTTTGGAAGTTGAATTTAAGTTTCCACTGTTGTATGTAACTGAATGCTTTGAGAATGATATTGCTACACCGGCACCTGAGATCTCTAAACTGAGTGCAAAGGAAGAAAATGATTCATATATGATATAGCTGCCCCCATCAAGCTTTAGGATTAAGGCTTACTTAGTTGAGCATATTCTTGCTTGGTTGTTTGTAAAATATATTTACATGAAAACATGATAACAGACAAGTAGTTTCACTGCTTTTGATGCAAGGTGTTTGTATTTCCTTATGGGGAAGATGTTGCCATAATTCATCTTTTCTTGTCCAAACAGATTGCTCTATATTAGAACTCTACATTCTTGTATGCATGAAGAGGTTGGAAGTTAAAGAGCAAAATTCATATAACTTCAATTCTGTAATGAAAGGTCCATTCAGACATTTCCTTCTTTTTTTCTTAAATTTTATCTCATTGGTAATGCCATTGTAACCTGCAATTTCTAACATGCTTATCACTTGTGACAGAGTACAAGAGCATTCATGACTCATTCCAGACATCTGATTATTATGCACGAAATGTATGCTTAAGGGTGCGTATACTTCTCAGAGGAAACACCTTTTTTATTTTGAATGATAAATGAAATATGCAACAATCAATAGAGTGTTCCACTCAATTTGTCTTCCCTCATATTCCAACATTATTCTGTCTATGTACTGCAGGCATTTGAACGGCTAATACAACGTGAACTAATTTGTTTCATGGACAACCGAGCCCACAACCAATCTCTTGAATTTCGTCCTGTGAAACTTCTGGTTTCATATGCCGAACTACAAGAGGGGCTGAAATCATACCGTTCCTGTCCTGTAAGTTACTCCATCTATAGATGTCTGTTCCTAAGGTGGAACTGCGTGATAATCTCATAGTGGTTGCATGTGGTTTAAGGCAAAAGCATATACAAAATAACCATTTAAACCAGTTTAAGTTAATTGCGAAATCTTTGGTGCTGTTTAGACTTTCTTATATTTGCTTCTATTCTTTGAAGTTTATACCTTTTACTAGGCATGGCCATCGGTTCGGTTCAAATCAGAACCGAACTGTACTGTAGATGAACTGAAACCAGATCAAAATCGGCGATTCAAAATTTTAAACCGGACTTGGTGGTTTAAGGACCAGTTAAGGTTTATGTGAATGTCAAAATATGAACCGAAACCGGCCTGGAACTGACGGTTTCAGTCCGGTTCGAACCGAAAATTTTTTATTTTTATTTTCAAAGTGATAATCACTTAGCGTATTTTATACATCTCTAAAAATCTCAATAATATTTTACTACATGATATACTTTACTTAAATTTTTTTTTTTTTAAATACACTTTACTTTAAAAGTTACATCTCTAAAATCTCAAATAATATTTACTACATGAATATACTTTACTTTAATTTTTTTTTTTAAATACACTTTAAACTTTAAAGTTAAAATTCTAAAAAGTGAAATGGTAAGAAAAAGGAGAAATATTTAGTCCTTTTTTTAAATACACTTTACTTTAAAAGTTAAAATTCTAAAAAGTGAAATGGTAAGAAAAAGGAGAAATATTTAGTCTAAATTTATATTATTTTTAACTTTTTTTTTACCATTTTAAATTGTTTACTAAGTTTAAAATTACATTCTTTTGAATCATTTTTCAAAATTTTCTTAGAATTTATTTAATTAATAACAATTAACAAAATAAAATGATAGTTTATTTGATTAGTTTGTAAAATTAATTAATTTTATTCTTATATGAGTATGAGCATTCTAAAATTTATTTAACTAAAATTTACCAATATTTTTTAAACTCATATTAATATTTAGGAAAGAAAAATGTAATGTTAGAATCGATTTTTTATTTTAAAAAAAAAAACATATATCATCGGAAAACCGTGATCAGAACCGTCGGTTCATCGAAACCGCATCGGAACCGGCGGTTCAAGAGCTGGTTCAAGTTCAACATTTTAAAAATTTTAAACCGTTGGTTCCGTGAACCGAATCCGGCGGTTCAACGAACCGGCCATGCCTACCTTTTACATGAACGTTGATGTTGACTTGTTGAAATTAGTGATCAAAACATCATTTTTATTTCTATTGGCAGAGCATTCTTCAAAAATTAATGGACCGTTGAAGACGGAAGAACAGGACAGACAACATGGAATCTGTAGTCAATTTGTGGGGTTTTTTACTAGGGTATTGCAGAAGTCATCTCTGTGACTTAATCAATTTTTCTGGCAATAGGAAGAACTTAATCACTGTTGTGTTATGACCACCTTCCATATTTAAAATTATTACTATTATTCCTTGTACCTCTCCCTTTGTGATCTTGAATTTCTCAATTTCTTTATGATCTGATCTTATATATATATATATATATATATACATATAGCCTAACCCAACAGCAAGGTTCAAAAGTTCTTCATGATTGGTTCTAATGGTTCTGGGAATTGAATGGGTTATGGATTTTTAGACCAAACAATACAGATTGTCCAAGAATATAAATATACTTTCCTATTTTCCTCTAAACTTACTGAACATTTTTTACCTGAATAAATTATTTACACTTGAATAAAGCACATAAATACAAGATTGGATAATCAGTATTCAAAGTTACATGCAATTACAATTTATTATTACACATACACAATCACGCATACATATCAACCTCCCATACTATTGGATGGTTGAGAATGTTGGCTGTGAGAGCTTTCTCTATAGCGGTCACAAGATGCAAGCAAATTGACCTGCAAATACAACCCCCAAAAATTTAGCACCCTTGAGACTAAGAAGCGAGAGAGAGGATGAAGAATTACAAGCGATGAGTTATACCTTCACAATTTCATACTTCGAGTTCGGACGCATATAGGCTGCCAAGATGCTCATGTTGAAATCCTACACATTTACAAAACAAAAGGATCGATTGAGATTCATTCGATAATAAAAATTTTCATAACTGCATAAGCATTAGTAACTCATAGAACCTGTGCAAATTGTTTAAAAAGCACCACACTGAGATGTTGCAATAGGAATTTAAAACTATTATATAGCTGTATTCAGAGTTGTTATGGTCAAAACATGTCAATCTAACTTTAAAGAACTTTTAACTGCCTTAATCAGCAGATTGCTAAGTGCTTTCCTCAACAACAATTATAACAAAAGGCCAAACAGATTGCAAATAGTTGTTTGAAATGATTTTTCTGGCTGTTTTTGAGTTTTTATCATCAATATATTAAAATCACATTTAAATCCATATGTCTAGATGATTTTATATAGCAACTATAACAACAATGCCAAACAAACATTTACCCTATATTCGGTATGCCGTAATAAACATAACTTAATGTAATCAAAGACATTTCTAGTCCAATGTTTACACCAGAATGCCTTTCATTATATCACATTATGTTCTATATTGGCTTACCAAGCATATAGAATGAGTAAAAGCATGAGAAACAACTTTTCGCAACAATTTAATACGGAGAACACGTGTATCATCCGATAATACTTATAAAATGCCAAAATTTATCTTCTGTGTTTTTGAAATGTGCCATAACTTGCTGTCATATCAAGAATCAGTACCAGAATGTAAGACTCACCTGAAAAGGATCACCCCTCAAAGACTGCACATACATTGAATTCCCTGAGCCTCTCCCCTTCATGAGAAAAAAAAATTAATTACATTAGTGTAAAAATGGTAAATCCCAAAGCCTTGTCCTGGCACATAATCAATACCTGATTAATTAACGACGGAGACCAGTTTGGGTTAATTATGAATGGAATAAACTTTTTAACCTTCCTTCTTTTGGGTATTACTCTCATTGTAACTCTTCAGACCAAGTTATGAAAAATAAAAACATCTAGGACAATAAAGACTGAAAAACCTCGAAAAATGAGTCCATAGTTCTGCAACATTCAGTCAACTGCTAAGTACTTTGTAGAACCCTGTTCTCTTTGAATATCTTCAGACAACTTCAAATATTCTTTCATGTCCAAAGTTTTGCAGAGTCCAAAAGTTCTTCTGACATTGAATATTTTACTTACTATACATGAAAAGCTATTTTAGTAGGAAATTTACTTATTTTGTATGTTTTGCTTCCTCATCAGGATTTACTATTTATTTTTAATTGACTATACAAGCTTGCTTGTGGATCCTTTGGCTTTAGGCTGCTATTAATCTAATAGAGAATAAAGTTTCAAACAATTAGCCCTTTCCAGTTCGGCTTTTCAGTTCTCTTTGCTTATTTCAACATCACACCAAGTATTTCAATGAGAAAACTTATATACCTCCAAAGATATGTCTTTGAGACGCCTTCCAGTTTGAGCACAGCAGACACGGACCAGATGTTCATCACAACTCCCACTTATAATATAATCCCTTCCATTCATGTAGTAGGAGCGAGTGTAATTCTGTGAACTTCCAGTTGATGATATCTCAAAATTCATGTGTAGCCTCCCATCAACAGCCAAAAGTTGTCGAACCTGATACAATCCAAACATTAATCTCAAGATACCACTAATTTCCTCAACAAGAGCAATCAACATTCTACCAAATAAAGAAGAAGATACATTGGAAAGAAAGAAAGAAAGAAAAGGAGATTCAACAAGGCCACTGAGATAGAAGCATAAGCATTATCAATATGGACATAAGAAGTTTCAAAACCTTCCAGTGTTAAACTTCAAAACATTAATACCAATCTGAAGAAGTCATGGTTTTTGAAGAACTCTGTCAATTTCAAGGAAAGATTCTAGATAACCCAACAAATCAGGCCAGCTTGTTAGCATATTAAAAACAAATCATATCCAACCTGATCATTGTTTTAATTATATAAGATGTTGCCAATTTATGTTTGCTACTTCGTAGATACTACACTAACAGAGCCCAACGGTCATCTTTTCTATCCCTCCACCACTTTCATTCCTTGGTTTTATTTACAAAATCCCTTTGTTTTCTCATTTAACGTATTGTACCAATAACTTCATTAGTAAGAGAATATGAATTTGTAGAAGAAAAATAAAACTTCCAACAGTTGAACATAGTTTCTTGGTCCAGACATACTTCAGGTTAGACCCAGGTTTAAGAAGAGAGAAGAAAATTTATGGACAAGATATTTGCTGGGCTGAGATGGCCAAGCAGGTCCTCAAACTGCTAAACAGGGTACAGACCAGCTTATAGTGTAAACAAGTCAACTGTTGGTTCCTGTAGTGGAATCTTGACCTTTATATACGGCAATGTCTATATCCTTGAGTGCAAATTCTGAACAGGAGAAAACAATCGATATGGCCGGAATAGATTATTCCAAATGATGGAAATGCATTGAAACCCTGTGCTTGCAATAAAATCAACTCAAAAAATACCTCGTTGTCAACGGCAGATACAAGAAGATAGTGATCATCTGGAGAGAAGCAAACCATCACATTTCCTCTAGAGCTTGAAGTGGTATAGCAAGGCTGTATTGGTTTCTGTCTTAAGTCCCATAGTTTTACATCCCGATCAAATGAAGAAGTAGCAAAAACCGATGGAGAATGATTTGAGAACTTAACAACATTGATATGTTCCCTGTGCATGTCGGTGAACATCTGTATTCGCCTTCCACAGTTGATGTCATATAGAGCAACATTTTTTGAGTATCCACTTGCAAGAAATAGCTCATCAGTAGTATTAACATGGACAGAAGTCAGTTGCTCAAAATCATCAAAGGTGACTGAGCCAGCACCTGAATATGTGCCTGTAACTGTTGGGGGCACATGTTCAACATCATATAATTTTAGCGAACCATTATCAGAACCAGCTATTAGCTGACATTGAACGGGAAAAAACAAAAATAGAATTAGAAATGTCATATTATAAAGGACAAAGTATATAAGCAGATGCTTCTAGAAAGTCAAATGATGATGGAGAAGGTCAATTGATCAAATGGCCAAAAACTATTTTGAATGTTTAAGGTATAGGTTGTCCAAGCATGAGCAAGTTCAGTCTCATGGACCACCAGATCCCTCATAATTGAACTGTTGTTTTCATTGGGCAAAAGAGCTCTTTAACTCAAGGATACACATCATATTCCATGAGGGGAAAAATGTTTCAAAACAGACGAGGAATTCTAAGGTGATGTTTACATGCATCTTATAGTATAATGAACTTCACTATGACTCAATTTAAGAAATTCCTTTTGGAAGTCCAGGTGTGTATCTACAATTTATTTATTTATTATTCAAAAAAAAAAACAAAAAAGAAAAAAAGAAAAGATAGAAAAATAACCTAAGTGCTCACCTACAATACCCAATATTTGGAGCTACATCCTTTTTATATTATCAAATACTGAATCTCTGCACAAGAAACTTATCCTGAGGCTCAAATGGCTTTCTGTGAGGGAACAACAACACTCTATGCATGACAATGGTGAATTCTACAATCTTGAAACAGCAATAATTGCAAAAAAACTGTACCTGAATCTATGCAACTGTATGGAAATTTAGGAAATGAAACCCTTTTCTGCACAACGTTACTCATCACTTTTATTACATACCAGACTATCTCAAGGTTTTTTCAGAGTGAACTTTAACTGACTAAACTTTGTCAATTTTTCTTCTATTTCTGCCTTTATCTTTTGGAAAGAATGATACCCAAAAAAAAAAGAACAAAAGAAAAAACAGAAAAGAATGATACAAGAAAGTTATAAAGATCAAGAACATGAGCGATTAATTATAATAATTTAGTCAAACCTGGGGTACATAAAAACAAATATCACTCTTGCTTATTTATACTTTTGACTTCAATTACATTTTTTTTTTCTTCAATGAATATAAACCCCAATTTTATCAGTTAGCATATAGTATTATGATATAGTTAGCAAAATATCAATCATGATCACTCATATAAACTTTGACTCCTTAAGTGGGATTTAGAGAGGAAAAAAAACTTTGTAGAAGAATAAGTGCTCACATTCATTTTACACACACTTAACTACAATTTAAGCATTTCTCACCATGCTCCATGAAGTAATCACATACCTTATATGGATGCTTCTTGAGCCAGCATAGCCCCAGAACACTGTTCATTGCTCCAAGTGAGGGAACATAACTTACTATTTTCTCATTCTCATGATTAACCACAACTACTTCACCATCTAAAGTTCCAAATACTAATAGACTAGAGATAGATGGATTATACTCAAACTGTCTAGGACGAAAGCTCCTCCTTCCAGCCCCGGAATCAGATCCTGATACAGAAAGTGCATGCAGAAGAGGCCAAGCTGAAGAACCAACTTTGGCAGCACAAAAGGACCTGGTGTAGGAGTATGGTGAATTTCTGCAAGGATATGAAGGCTTATGATCTTTATTCTTCAGACGAGAGCGACTTTCTTTTATTTCACGCTTATACAAGATATCTACAACGCTTTCTCTATGTTTCTGTTTGTATGGTAAGTACTCAAAGTGCTGCGAAAATGTAACAGCGGCCCTTTCCTTGTCAATCTTTCTGATAGGCAAGTTATCCAAAGTTTTCAAATGGGGCAATGACGCTATCATGTATTCTCTATAATGTTTCTCGTAGCATATTGGTGAGGCATGACAAGAAATATACTTCAAAGCAAGATCTGCAATATGCCTTGTGAAAGCACCTGCTGAGGACTCTTCACTGTGATTGCACATAGTGCCAAAGGATACCTGGAATGCATATAAATTTTACTATCAACTTAAGATGAAGGAAGTTGAATAAGACAAAAAAAAAAAAAAAATGGAAACACATGGAATCCTTCTTTCTTCATATTAAGAAGAAACCCAGACAAATACCAAAAATCAGTGGCAGATCCAGAAAATTTTGGGAATAGATACAATGCATATGTCACTTACACAAAAAAAAAAAAAAAAAAAAACACATGGAATCCTTTCTTTTCTTCATATTTAAGAAGAAAACCCAGGACAAAAATTACCCAAAAATCAGTGGCCAGGATCCAGAAATTTTGGGAATAGATACAATGCATATGTCACTTACACAAAAAAAAAAAAAAAAAACAACAAAGGCGATATGTAAAAAAAAAAAAAAAAAAAAAAACAACAAGGCGATATGTAAGCACCTAGAAGAAAAGCATTTCCACTGACAACGAAATGGCTCAACAATACTACATACAAACATGTATTACAATGGTCTGGCCAATTTCAGCATGCAATATTTTTTTCCTGCATGAGAATTAGTTCATTATGTTATCAATTCCACATTAAATTGAGGAATTCATTACTCAAGAGTAAAATGCTATTCCTAAGAACTTACATACAGAATATTACTTCATTGACTTGTTTTACATTATCGACAAGGGAAACTTCACACATTATAATTCTGCAGTCCATCTACCAAGCAAAGAAACTTAGCAGTGTATGCTCAAAAATATGCATATCATATAGCAACATTACATACATATTTAAAGAATCAAAACAAAAGGAAAAACAGAAATTTGACTTGCTTTCTTTCACTTCTGTAATGGACATTAAAAATGACTAAAAGGTTAAGTAGCTACATTTAATGGATACTTTAATATTTTTAAAACAATTAAACGATATGTGTAGCCTAATCCCAAGAAATCAGTGAATTTTCACTTAACGAATTATTAACAGGTGACAAACAAATGACTTGAGGGCAAACTTAAAATTTTAGTGGGACAGAATAGAAAAAATAATGAGAAAAAAAGTTGAGACATGCTTTCAAAGGGGGCAGTAAAGCAAGCATTAAACCAGTCCACCATTGCCCAATAAAATTAAACAGGAACAGGAGTGAACAAAAATAATAATGACCCAAGAAAAATATTTTACGGTTATCAAAATTTCATAGAAATCCTATAAAAGGTTCTTCACATCCTACGCTATTGGATTGATTTACTTACAATGCTACTTATCCAATACCTAAAAATAATTAAAGACAACCAATTGCACCTCCTTTAGAGCTAAGATAGCCTTTCTATTCTATTCACCCATTTAATTTTGAAAGTAGCCTGAAACCATACGTGGGGGAATGGACGGATGTGGTTTACCTCATCCTGCAGATTGACCTGGCTATCCCACCCAGGAGATGCATTGGACAATGAGTTCATATAATCAAATTCTTGCCAATGAGTTGAAAAATCCACTTCACTATCATCTGATGAATCTCCTACCATGCTTTGTACTTCCGGATGTATAGCTACATCATTAAAAGAGAACATATTGATTAGAGCCTCTTCTGCACCTGAGCTAATATCTGCATGTTCGCTGATATTAAGGGATGGTGGGTCATTGTTGGAACTGTTCTGTTGACCAAGTTCACATTGATCATCGAACTTGCCACCAGATGGTGCTGAAGAAGATCCAGTCTCATTACAACACAACCATTTCTGAAACCTTAGCTCCACCAAAGAAGAGAGTTTAGAAAGTGCTGCAACAGTTGTCCACAGGTTCACAACTCTTGTTGCACACATTGAGAGGCAAATTAGATTGGGCATGCAAGTAAAACAATTCTCCCGGAAGCTAGTAAGTGAAGTATTAAAATCAAGATTAAGGGTGCGTATGCGAACGAATTCCCCTGTCATGTTGAGCTTCCGAAACCGTGAAGACCTCAAGTTTAAAACTTCACAAGTCAACCCTCCTTGTGAAAGCTCCCTGATGATGAAAGCCAAAGTATGACAATGCATGCAAAATTATGTTTCACAACAAAGCTTAACAGAAAATATAATGTAAAGAAAGAAATGAAATATAAGAATATGAATGGATCAATCAGTAAAAACAGTAGCAACAGAAGATACTATTATGTAATTGGATAGGAATTCAAAGCAAAGAAAAAGACAGAAATCAACAGATCACACATCATAGGAAGTTACTGTTCAAAATGGCTGTTGAGAATTTGCCAAATAATCTATATTTTGTTCTGATTCATTGGCAGTGTAATCTTAAATATTAACAGGAAAGAGAACTTTATACAGGGGGATCACAGCCTATAACCAAATAGAAAGTGAAAATTCTAATGATTATTGATAAAGATAACATAACAAATATATCAAGGAAAATTGAGGAGATACCAAAATAATGAGGGTGAGAATAATCAACAATGATTAAGAATCCTAAGATATCAAAATCAGTAATTAAATGGAGATAATTTTCAATTTTTTATTTCCTTGTCCACTTCGATGCCTCAACATAAATGTCCACAATAATCAATTTGCTATGTAAAGCAATACATTTGTAGCACTGTGTAAAATCATGCCTTTTATTTACATGAAATGTATCTTAATGTCAATGCAAAAGAAAGGGAAAAAAGGAACTTATCATTTCAATAAATTCTTATTGTTCTAATATTTCAAGCAAAACTTATCACATTGTAAAAGACGAGCATCACATGTTCTTTCGGTGCCCACTACACTTTAACGCAACAAAAATAAATACCGCAAATCATCAGCTGACAACATACGTTATTTGTCACAATCAATCAACTTTAAACCAGTATTAAATTTTCAGGGTCATCATGTCTTTCTTCACTGCCTCTATCCACAATTCAACATCAGTGGAAGATTTCTCTTGTTTTTTGCAGGCCTTCTTAAATTCAGACCATTCACAATAACACATATTGATAAAAGAAACTGTGAAATTTGATTTTCAAGGGCATAATATATACATTGGTCATGTGGGTACTACTAGTAGGCTCCAAATTGCCTAGTTCTTCACAATTGCAAGATGATTAAAACATCAGAAAATCCGGAAAATGTTTTCCGGAAAAACCGGAGCATTAGTTAATTGTTTGAACTTCCATTGCCCACATGATAAAAAACGCACCATTGATTGTAAGGCAGCAACAAAGATGCATAGATACATTCAATAAACACAAATGACAAAATTTGCTATAAGAAAATTCATAGTATAAACAAGCATATACCTCAAGAAGTCTTTTCCATATAATGAATCCTGAAGATCTACTACTCGAAGCTTTTGATTGAAAGCACGCATCAAAGATAAAGCATATTCTCCATTCAACACTCGTGATGATCCATTATGTATGTCAATAGCTTCAATCTCAGATGTCTCAATCGACACACATAAATCAAGAAGAGGAGGAAAATCAATATCTTTAAGTTGGTCCAAGAATATCTCTAGGCTACATAGTTCATTGCAAGACTTCTTAACCTCAGCCTGAACGGTAAAATACTTATCAAATGTAACTTCTCATTTCCATCAACCAGAAAAAAAGAAAAAAAAAATCACATCCAACAAAAGGAAAGACAAATATTAATTATTATTTGTTAATGCCTTATAGAATAAACAAACAACAATGTAACTCAAATCAACAGTCACCTTGAATAAACCAGATAAAACTGCAGTATTAGGTAGGACTGCATGCCTGCCACAGGAATCAATATACCTAAAGAAAACCAAAAATATATAGATAGTAAATTTTAGCAAATCAAATATCAGAATAGTCATAATAATTACTAGCATTAAAGAGCAATGACTACATTAGCAATTAAGAAACAGTTGGCAATAACTATGCAATTTTAGGTCCATAAAACATGTAGCAAAATTGGTTTTTCTTGTTTTCATTCATTTTTCTCCCTAAGGTACCCCAAGAACGACTAGCTTGAACTTTTAAATTAATATAAAGACAATGTACATAAAATTTGGTATTAGGCATCACAAAAAGTCAGTTGCAAGACCTCAAGTTGCAGTTACAACTGTTGTGAACACAGCAAATTGTAAGAGACACCCAGAAAACTTTGAATTTAACGTTCTGCTCTTGTTTTTAGCTTCTTGGCTTCAGAAATCTTGTTATCTTTGAATTTGTATGATAAGTGAAGTCTCTTCAAGAAAAACTTAAACCATTTTAAAATTTTCAAAAGGCTTAAGCAAGTTTCCAATTGGAAGGGGAGTATAACTTATAAACTCCCACCATTCTTCAACAGCCACTACATTGGTGATTCAAAAATTCGCCATTACAAGATCCAACATTATAGCAGCTCAGACGACATTATGTAATGGTTTTTACCATGAAATATATCATTTTTTCAAGCTTTTCCAGATCCATAAATCTCAATTATAAATTATAAGACCATTTTATAGGTCTTTAGGTTCAAATGAAGATGAGAGAGCTCAAATAAATCTCTCGGAAAAAAAATTAGTCGTGGATTTCAGATTACACCATTTCATAGATATTTTCAAGTCCACACACTAACAAAATTTTGTACCCACATTACATTCATGATTCCAATGTATTATCAATTCCGAATTCAATAGGTCGATAACTGATAGACCAAAAATTCATAAAGATAATGATAAACCAACAACAATAAAGAAAAAGGTGCTGAATTGAACAACAAACTGATATCTTGAACCGATAAACGAAAATTACTAAATTTGATAGAGCAAAGAAGGCCAAAGCAAAACTTTTGCAGGGTACTGGAAGTCTGTAATTACAAGCCAGTTCCATAACCTCAGTGCGTAACTCTATTACCTAACATCTATCGTTTGATCACCAACTTCTTACTCACGGACACTCTATTGCTTGCAAAATGGAAAGAAAGCAAAAGTCGGTATAATAGCATTTCCATGAGCGAAGAAGAAAGAAAATATCTTTTCAACATTCAAAGAAAACAAAGTCTTTTTATTCTCATGACGATATGAGAAGTCAGAAGTTCAGTGATCAAACTGCAGAATTAAAATTTAAAGGTGATAATCTGTACTATCCTTTAAAATCCCAAAAAGGAAACAATAAATCTCAAAAATAACAATTTAATGCCCTAAGTAAAAAAAAAAATAACAAAAAATAAATCGATAGACTTACATGTTTTGCAAGGTTCGAATATCCACAGCCATGGTTGAGATTTGGAGGGTCTAATTTTGAGCCAAAACAACTGAATATTAGTAGTATATATCGAAGATGGATATATTTGCGTCTACAACAAATACATACACTTGTATATGTATAAACTATACATTTGTTTGTTATAGTTCGGAGGCTGGAGAATCAAGAATGGAACGACAGAGTAGCTTTTGTTGGGCTTTTCTTGTGTTTTTGTGCAGGAAATGGCAGCGAACAAATATTAGTAGAAAAAAAATCAAAAATGAATATATATAAAAATATGAGAATAGACAGAAAATATAATATGTTGAATAAAATTTGAATATCTTAAAATAAAATTTTAAAAATTATGTTTTATTAATTGATTTGATATAATTAAATTAAAATTATTTTTATAATAAATATATATAGATAATTAAGTATTTTAAAATCTTAAGTTTTATCTCCTTGTCAAAAAATGAAAATCTTAATTATTTTGTTATTTATTTTTTAATAAATATATATGACAATTATTTTTAATAAAATATATTACATAAAATTATATTTTATTTTTAAAATTTATTCTTTAAAATTTAATATATTTAAAAAAGAGATAGGAAAAAGAAAAAAAAAAAATTTTTTCTTTATCTTTATATAATTTGAATTGTATTATTTTTAAAAACAATTTTCAGATACATATAACATAATAATCCTTCAAAAATTTTTAAATTTTTAAAAATTTTAAATAAAATAAATAGTAGGTGTGCATATGTACATATAATAAACTATAAAAAATAATTATATATATTTTATTATTATATTATCTATATATATTAAAATATATTTATTAGATGATATATTATAGAATTGCACATTTATAGTTACAGTGAATTTTAAATAAATGACAATATAAATTGAATTAAAGCGTGTATAAAAATACTGTTTTATTAATTAATCACTTATATTCACGTTAATTTTATATAAAATTTTGTTTTAACATTGTAGAAATCTAAATACTGTAAGACAAAAATTATAATTAATATTTAATAAAAAATAAAAATGTTATAAATAACAAGTAAAAGTGAGCAATGTCTTAAAAAATTAGACGAATATGAATAATGAGTATAGTTAACGTGCAATATCTGTCATAAATATATATATATATATATATTTGGAAAAGCTAAATGAGTTTAACAAAAAGATATTGAAATTTATTTAGAAAATTATAATTGAGTGAAAAAAAATTGAGAGTTTAATTGATAATCTTTAATTTATAATTCTTTTTATTTAAAACGCTTTGAAACAATAATTCTCAATTTTGATTTTAAGAACGAAAAATCGAAACAAAATTGTAAGAATGTAATTTTAATACAGTTTAAAATGAAAAGTTATTAACATTTGTTTGGTTTTGATCTCACTCAGTTCAATTATAATTTGAAACCAATAGGACATGGGAAATTTTATTAGAATTTAAGTATTTATAAATCTTTTATATTTTTTTGAGAAAATTAAATAATTTTTTCTTTTCCTATATAAATATATTTATCTTTTTTTACTCAAAAAATAAAAAGGAAATTGTTTGATATTTATATATAATTAAAATAGAAAAAGAAATATTTGGAAGGGCCAGCCCATTGATCCATATATGTGTATCATACATTTCTAAAGCCCATCCATTAGTATCGTTCTTGGAACAATGCCATTCGAATGAGTCTAATTCAATTAATTTGAGCCTTTAAATGGGCTAATCTAAACCTATATATTATATGGACAAGTAATATTATTTTAGATTTTTTGCTCTTTTTAATTCTATTTTACAAGAAAAATGGGATTGATTTATGGAATTTTTATATACTTTTAAGAAATATGATTTAATTGGATAATTTCTTTTTTGTTTATCTTATTATTATTAAGTAGTATTAGCAGGACACTTAAATTTGTTTTAAAATTTTTATTTTTATCTTTCTTGTATATTAATATTGAATGGTCAATTTTCCTTTATATTCAAATAAATGTTGATTTTCAAAAAAAAAAAAAAAAAAGAAATTGCAAAAGATGTGCTCATTTTACTTTTTCAATCTAATATGTCATGTGTGTGAAGTTTTAATTATATTACAAAATTTTAATATTTACATTATGTAACTTTAGTATGATTGTTCTACATAAAATAAATGTAATAAATTATATTCCAATACAACATTTTTTTTATAGATAAATGTTTTAATTGAAAGTTTAGTATAAAAATTAATATATTAGTGAAAAGATGGTTATTGAAACAACCTGAATTTTTTATTTTCAAAGATTTTCCAATTAAATTTAATAAACCGACAGCCTGGAAATTTATTTCAATATTTTAATGCGTGAGAAACCGAACCGAAAACCGATTGAAAAAGCCAAAAACCAATTAAAAATCAAAGATTTGGGTCGAATCGAACCGAATCGAACCGGTTCGACCCAAACAATCTAGAAAATTCCCTTTTTTTTTTTATCTCCAGCGCTGCACCCAAACATATCTAGAAAAAATCCCTTCTTTTTTTTTATTTCTCCTAGCGCTGCAACCTCTACTCCCTCATCCCTCACCAGCGCTCAACTGCCAACTCCAGGCCGCATCACTGGCAGCCCACCCCGGATCTGGCCCTGCCTCCTCCCTACATTTCTTGCTTCTTCTTTCTTTCACTGATGAATCTTTCTTTTCTTTCTTTTCTTTTCTTCTGTCTTGCCCTGCGTCGTACTGCGGTGTGACTGGCAGAGAGACATCAGATATTGTCGGTGTCGCGCGCACCTGTACAGGCCCTCGCAGGGCCACACTCATGCCGCCGACTCGTGCCACGCCGCCAGTCGCACCGGCCATCAACGCTCCGCTCGTCGGCGCGCACTAGCCATTTAGCTGCTCTCTGCCCGAGATTGCGCAGCGCAACGGCAGAAGCACAAGTCTCCCCGCCTGCTTCCGCCACCCGACACCCGTGCCCTGCTGCTAGCCGCCACATCACAGATCGCGCCCTACTGATGCGCTCCAGGCGGCCTCCGACCACCAAGGCATTGCCACTGCTGCTCCTCGATTCCGGCACGCGTGGAAAATTTCCGCCCTCTAAGGCAAATTCGACAAAAAATTATATTGGGTAATTAAGTTAAATTTTAAATACATTTTTTAGTTAAGTTAAGTTCTAAGAATTTTATTAATGAAGTTAGATTAAATTTATGTCATTTATGTTTAATTTTAATAATTTTAGTTGATTAATCTGATTTTAGTAATTTTAGTGAATTAAATTATTTTAGTAATCTTGATTAATTAATTTAATTTAGCAATTTTTATTAGTTAAATAAATTTAATTTGGCTAGATCTATTGAATAGTTTAAAATTGTTGGGAAATTATGATTTATGGAATTAAAGAAAAATTAATATAGTTGATGTGGATAAATGTGGAGGACGGGAAAAAATTAAATTGATGGAGGATGAAAAATTTAATTGATTGATTGCCCGATGGATGGGCTGTGTGGTTGGAAATATTAGATATATTGTTGATATTGTAACAGGTGGATAGTCCAACTTTTAGGGGAGATGCTGCCGAAATTTTGGTAGAAAATAAAATAAATCTTGGTAGAAAATAAAATAGTAAATAAAGTATATTTCAGACGAAAACAAATAAAATAGAGTTAGATAGAAAAATAAAAAATTTTAGTACAGAAAAGAAATTAAATATCGAGATTTATTTATGTAGAAAAAAAAAATGTAGAATATAAAATAAAATTCTTAGAGTAGTAAAGAAATATTGTCTGATAGAATTATTTTCTTTTGTGTCGTTCTTACTTTGCTTTTTTGTCGTTCTTAACTGCTTTGCTAGATCCGACCGGTATTCATCTAGTGCGTTCCTTCAGGACAACCATCAGGATGCTAAGAACTTCGCTTACTCCATCACTGTGATAAATAATAAAGTAATGCATATAACATGCAGTTTGCATAGCATTTTGTTTACAAACCTTATATGACTAAAATATGATAATATATATATATATATATATATATATCATATATATAGATGATTATATGTAATATATTATATATTTGATATTAAAGCTCAATATTTTATTTTAGATTGCATAGAGTTGTATATTTGGGAGGGATTTGTAAAGCGTTGAAAAAAAAAAAATGTGTTATGTTACTTGTGACTGTGCATATACTGTCCTTGTTTGTGTGGAAGTTGGGTATAAAAGTGGGGTCGATATGGGGTTTGTGGAGACTGTTTCCTGTTATATGATTCGCTGATTCTGCATTTTGTATATCTCGATTCAGTTATATGGAAGTCTCTGATCTGTTTCCCTGTTAGCCGGTAAATGGGTACACTCGAGCGTGCCCCGTGTGCACCTGTTAAATTTTGTTTATCTAAACCAACAGGATGGCCGCCTGTTTGTTGCGCACGGCTGAAAATCTAGATTTGATTCAGGCCGCGCAGGGCGCCTCCTGTTGTGAGCGCTTGACTGATCTAGATTGGATGGAGACCACCGGTTTGCCTGCCTCATGGTATGGGAAAGAAAAGAGGAATGGAAAGACAATGAAGAGGCAGGGTCGAAGAGGTGAGGATTAGAGACCCGGTCGGGGGGGCGTAGTCCAGTATGGGGGGAATCGCTCCCTTGGGGCAGCATGTGAGAGGATGAGCCATGTGGGAGGTGACGGCTCGAGTCTGGGGTTCGGTGACTCCACTGTACGTAACCAGCTGATGTGATTATTTGAAGGGGTGATATGTTTGTGGTGCTGATAAATAGTCATATGATGTACTGTGTGTGTTCACTATCATAAACTAGGGTGCCCATTTTGGCTTGACCTGTAATGTGGTGTTAAATTTATTTTAATTATTAATTCAAACTGAGTTGCAAAAACTCACACCCCTTCCTCCAAACCCTCCCAAGGTACTGCGAGAACGCAGCTGATTGATTGAAGCTCTGCAATCTTCTCCGCAAGAGTTATAAATGTAAATTTAATATTCTGTTATTAATTTGGATGTAATAAGGTACTCTATTATCAAGATTTATTATTGAACTCCGCAGTTATAGGGTTGGTGTATTACTATTCGGACTTATGTTAACACTACACATAATAATATTATGGTAAATTAGCTGCAGTGAAACAGTAAGCCCTATAGTGTGATGTAAATATTCGGTTGAATGAGGCCCTGGTTAGATTATTATGCTGTTAAGAATTGAGAAATTTATTGTGAATAGGCCCTGGTTAGATATTATGTGTTAATTGAG